GATTCCTTTTCCTCATTCTGTGAATTCTTTGATTGGAATATAAATACTACTCGAAGTATGAATATTTTCACAGAACAATGATATAAATGGAACTTTAAAACTTTTTTAAGTGTTACAGTGATATTTCGTTATATCTTCCATAATGTCAATAATATTGATTTCTTTGCAACATCCATAATTATTACAAATGTCAATATAACGAAATATCTTTTATGCGATGATTGTGGTGTAATAAAAATCTGTGTTTCGATTACGTTTTTGATACGTCTTACTCACTTATATGTAATAATATAGAATAAAAATATACTGTTAGTCCGATATTTGAAAATATACATGCGTTCGTTGTCACTGTTAAACTATTAAATTATATGAACGTTGTTAGTCTCAAATTATTCCTGAAAACTTACTGCAACGACCCAATACCGCAGAACCCCAGAATTAGTAAAATTAGTTATGCCTGTATTACCGTAGCCTTTTGAGTTGACTACCGTCATTGCAAAATATTACGATCAGATTTACACCGCTAAATGGGCATGATTCTTCTTCGTTTTGCATTAGATACAACGTTTAAAGAACGTAGATTACTATTCTCTAACGGCTGGAAACCAGTAATTACAAGAACATTGTTAAAATCTCAATTGTTTGCAACGGTTGACACTTTATGTCGCGATGCGTGCCCCGTTTAGTTCACTTTAAATAGCTCTTCCAACGTTCTATGGACAAGTTACGTCTTGATCAAGCATTCAGTTTGAAGCTAAAAGAACGTAGATTAATCTCCTGTCATTGAAAATAACAATAAACAACCAGAACACTGTTAAAATCGCATTTAATCGCGGAATACCACTACTTTCTTGACCGGTGGCGCCATCCGTGGCGAATAGCTGAAACTGCTAGCCAATTATATAGTTACCAGTTTCAGCGGTTCGCCACGGATGGCGCCACAGGTCAAACAAATAGTGGTACTCCGCGATTAAATGCGATTTTAACAGTGTTCTGGTCACTTATTGTTATTATCAATCACAGTGGATTAATCTACGTACTTTCAGCTACAAATGGAGGGCTTCAGCTAAACGAAAACTGCCCGTATAACGATGTACGAGCTGTCCAAAGTGAACTAACCGGGGTACGCATGACGAGATACAGTGTCAACCGTTGCAAATAAAGTGTGATTTTAACAGTGTTCTGGTCGTTTATTGTTATTTTCAATGGCAGCGTATTAATCTACGTTCTTTCAGCTACAAATCGAGTGCTGTATCTAAACGAAAGCTATCCGTATAACGGTGTAACAGTTGTTTAAAGTGAACTAAACGGGATATGCATGATCGAATACACTGTCAGTCCAAACCTGTTGTTGTTAGGGTTGCCACTCCATAAGGGGTCAACGTTAATAGTAGCCTAAATAATTGTACTAATTCTGGTGTTCTGCAGTATTGGGTTTACGCATTAAATCGTCAGGAATAATTTGAGACCGACGACGATCATTCTGGGCGCTTAATTACACCGGAAAATAGTTGGCCGGAATCATTATAATTTGTATGTATATTCCAATAAACATACGTCAGGTAATATAAGCTTCATTTCATTGAATTGTCTTACATATAACTGCATAAATATTGTACAATCTTATACTAATTATATGTAGTTTTCTATAGAAACTAACTACTGCCTACGTCTATTAAACTTGGGCTGTAGTAGTATCTGCAGAAACTGCCATGGTTGCTGTAGTTACTATATAATTTGTACGGAAGCACGCACAAGTGTCAGTCAGATTTCGCCAGTTGCACGAGCAACAAAACTCTTATCCATGCACCGGGGGTACTATGACTCCATTTCCTCACACACACGGGGTCTCTGGCGCCTCCTCCGGGGGCTCTATGACCCCACGCTCTCGCCACACGGGTCACTGACGCCACCTATGGGGGTTCTGTGACTCCACACTCTCGTCACACGGGGTCCCTGGCGCCACCTGTGGGGGTTCTGTGACCCCACTCCCTCACTACACGGGTCCCTGGCGCCACCTTTCGGGGTTCTGTGGCCCCACGCCTCACCACACGGGGTCCGTGGCGCCTCCACCTGGGGTTCCATGACCCCACGTTGTCGTCAACGCGGTCTCTGGCGCCACCTGCGGGGGTTGTGTGACCCCACGTCCTCACCACACGTGGTCTCTGGCGCCTCCGTCGGGGGTCCTATGACCCCATGCTCCGCAGACACGGGGTCTCGTACGTAAACGTTGTCAATTCATGTAATTTTTAGAATATTGATATTACTTTATGAACCGAGATCATGGCTTCACAAGTTTCGAGGTTGTTGATACAAGAATAAATTGAAATATCACTTTTATTAAGAAAATTAATTACGTGCTTATTATTGTACTTATTTATACAAATTTCTTTAAGAAGAAATAAAGTAGTAGGAATTAGGAGGAAGGTGGTGATGGGATTGATGAACAACGCATATGTACCGTTTTATTGTCTTTTATTTAAACAATTCTAAGGAAATATACAGTTTACAATATAAGATCACAACTCAGATAGCACACAGACGGCTTTACGACGGCTTAAAGTCATAATTCTCTTACAAACTGTTGTTTGTGTGTATTTACATACGTAAATAGAACCATATAAAATTTCTCTTAATACATACATAGTAGAATCAGCCATCTATCGCAGCTGATGAATACTATTCGTTACTCAATGCGATTGTGACGTCGTGAAATGAGTTGAGACGTTGAGACGTGACTTGAACTTTCAGGAAAAGATGAAAACAATGTGAAGTGTAAAGTATGTGAAAATTGCGAGCCACATGACGATCATAGGCTGGCAGCAGTGTGTGTATAAACCAAACAAAAACGTGTAAAGCGAACAGTGTCATGATTGCATCCTGAAAGTAGTATCATCGATGAGGATATTTGAGAGCAATATAGGGGAGGGGTGCGCCAATAGGTAATTTTTAACGGTAGACAGTGCTATTTACGTTTGACAGATTGTTGCAGTGTGAGACTGGATCGGCGTGGCTGTGTTGTATCAGTCTGGAGGGAGCGAAAGATTTGAAACTGTGGTCTGCAGGCTACGGACTGCGGGCTACGGACTGTGAGAAGCCAGTACAGCCACGAGCCATTTACTTAGTCCACAAAACAAAACATGGACGCCGTCGGAATAAATACGTCCGATTCACCACAAAACGAAGAGGAAGGCATTGTGTCGACGGTGGAAATTTGTCGTGTTTGCCTTCTGGGTAACTTGGTTATGCGGGACTTGTTCTTAGAGAGCGAAGTTGTCTCTCTATCGTCAAAAGCAATGAGCTTTGCAAATGTTAAGGTTAGACTTTTGATTCACTGGTTATATTTGCTAAGAAAATATCGTGAGTCTAATGTATGCGATATCAGCACCTATCGGACTGGTTCTTAGATTCTCCTGTAATTAGAAAAGTAAAATTACCTTTTTAAATATACACGTTTCGTATCTTTGTCCGTCGGCTCGGTTCCATACTTACAGCTATCCGTCACACAAGACATTTCATTGCTCTAAGAACTTCGGGTTACAGAAAAAAAAGATGATAAATTACAACGATCGACCTTTTGAAAGCAAATAAATAGTGTTGTTCGATTGTTCTAGATGTTACCTGGTGATGGGTTGCCAGCGCGTGTATGTTGCATATGCGCGGACAAACTCGAATCTGCGTATGAATTTAAGCTACAGGTTGAACAGGCTGACACAGTTCTAAGAGAAAGATTCGTTACTATGAACATGAAGGAAGAATTGTTTTTCAACGAAGTCGAAGTACATCTCGATGCAGAAGAAAGAAACGAAGGCATCGAAGAGATGCACATAGAGAATCATTATGAAACCACAGTGGAGTCATTGGAAACTATCTCAGGTGATGAAAAGGCGTCCTTTCTTAAGGATCAGTTGGCTTTGTTGCAAGAGGAAAAGTTAACCGGAGAGGAGCAGACTATAAGTGGTAAATACACAGAAGGTTGTTTGAAAAGTTAAATTTTACATATCTTGTATTAACATTCTTGTTGTGTTTAGAACAGCATGACAGCTCTATAATGGATGTAGCGATCACGTCGGAACAGATGTTGGATGACTGTTCCAATCAAGACACAGAGAACATTAAAATAGTCAGTGTTATGAGCCAGAACGAAAGGATGTTGAAACATGAGCCTAATGAAAACTGCATTGAGAGTATTTCGACAGTAGAGCATGATTATATATTGCACCAGGAATGTATATTAACAAATGACAGTCAAGAAACACCACAACAGCAAGAAGACCACCACCAGCAGCAGGAGGAGCAGCAGCAACAGCAGGAGGAGCAGCAGCACCAGCAGCAGGAAGAAGAAGAACAACAACAACTGCTTTCGGACGAATCGTTTTCGCGCGATGACTGCGTTGAGTACGTGAATTTGTTAGTGAAAGCGACCGATACGACCCACCAAGAGGACGGAGACGAGAATGAGAACAAACCGGAGAAATCGAATGAAACGAATACGAATGTTAAGGTTGAACAAAGTTCTCAGTGTTGTCAAAGCGAGACGAGAAGAAGCAAACGTAAATCGGTACGACGGAACATTGATCCGATGCGAGATTCCGATGAGGAGAATTATTTCGAAAATCTGAATTTAAGTTCGCGACTAAAGAGGACCGAAGTCTTCGATAAATCGGAAAAGGTCTTCTTCATGTGCTACCTTTGCGATAAGGAATTTTTATCGAAGAACGTCTTACGGGAACATATGCACTCTCACGAGGAAGTTCGAAAGGCGTTGTCTTTAAAAAAATCCCTGGATAAACCGGAGAAAAGTGTCTGCAGTATTGCCAAGACACCACCGTCTGGTAAAAGGTCAAATAAATGTCCTTATTGCGGTAAACAATACATATATATAATTTCGTTCAGCAAACACTTGAAGAAGCACGAAAAGGAGAAAGAAGAGGCAAACGAGGAACCGATGCCGTTAGAAATTTCGTTTCACGAAGATGAACACAGTTTGGATCTGGAAGATTACGCGGATAAAGCGGATATGAATACGGAATATCTAGAGAAAGGCCGGAGGACGGACGCAACAAGCGAAACAAGGTTAGAGGAAGAGGAACAGGGGCTAGTGGAGGCGGAGGAAAATGAGCAAGAGATTGGGGAAGAAGAGGAAGAGAAAGATGGAGCAGAGGATTACGGAGAAGATGAACAGAGAAGAGAAACGAGCAGAGGAGGTAAAGAACGAAACGATAGTCTCAACGAAAGCGACGAACGAAAGAAGCGTGACATTCGGACCGACACATTTCCGTGTGACAAATGTTTAGAGAAATTTTCGACTAGACGCGGTTTACGGAAACATGCGGTATCGCATGTCGTTCTTAGATGTAGCGTGTGCGAAGAAGAGTTTGACTCGTTGGTAAGATTGAGGAATCATCGAGCGAAACATGTTGTCGAAGGTGTACTGTCCGAACAGGATCTGGAAACGGATGCGGAGTTCTTGATTAACAAAGACACGGATGGTTATGATACCGGGAATAAAGAGGGAGGAGAAGGAAATCACGAAGGAGGAAGGAGAAAGGAGAAGGAAGGAGAGGAAGAGGAAGGAGAACGCGATGCAGAGGAAATGTCCCGGATAGAGAATGTGTCGAAGAGAAACATCAGGTAGGTAGAAAGACAAGATTTTTAGATAATTTACATGGTCGTTCCCACGACACTGTTCTGACTGAATGTATATCGTCTCCTTTAGAAACACGGAGACGCATTCGGGGATCGACTTCAATTGCAAGGTGTGCTGTCAGCGATTTTCGAGAATGGATTTGTTGCAGAGGCATACGGAGCAACACGAACGCGTTAAATCCTACAAATGTACAGAATGTAATAAGATGTTCGGCAACGAACTTACATTGCGAAACCATCTTATAGCTACGAATCACAAAACCTACATCCACGGACAAGAATACGATCCTAACAAGCGTATCAAACGAGTCGCTGCGAAAGCAGCGCAGAAAATCATCGATAAAATTAAAACGGAAGACGGCTTAGAAGATTACGACGATGAAGAGGAGGCCGATGACAAAGTGATCGACCGGCATTCCACGGACGGGAGTTACGGTAGAAATAAGCGAGAGACGTCGTCGCAAAAGAGACACCACGGCTGCAAGAAAGAACTGGAATGCGTGAGTTGCAGTAAAAAGTGTAACTCGAAGCAGTCGCTGACGAAACATATGGAGCAACACGTCAAAGAGGAGAAAATCGTAAAATCGGAAAGGCAAAAGCAAGCCGGAGAGAAGAAAGAACGGCCGAGGAGTTGCGTTAACGAAGGACACGAATTGAACGCGGTTAACAAATATGACGATTACGATTCAGATTTCGAAAGCGGCTTAGATTGGCCAATGGACAATCACGAATGTTCAAAGTGTAAGAAACGCTACAGCACGAAAAAGTCATTGCTTCGGCATCAGTTGTTGCACGAAGAACCGAATTTCGAGTGCGACATATGTAACGTGAAATTCTATCGTAAGGACAAGCTGAAAGCTCACTACGACAAGTGTTCGGAGAAAAACCCAGATCAAGTAAGGAAATGCAACATCTGCGGAGACAGCTTCGAGAATAACGATATACTACGGGAGCATAGATCGAAACACGTCACCGAAGGTATTCTCACCGAAGAAGATTTGAGGGATATCGAGCCACGGCCGGAAGAGAAGAAGATAGGCGAGAAGATCGGTAGGAAAAGGAGGCCCGATATAGTGGGTTTGGAATGTACCGAGTGCAATAAGCAGTATACCTCGAGGAAAGGTCTTTTGCGTCATATTCAAGTCCACGAAGGGAAGAAGTACCTTTGCGACATATGCCCGAAGAAATTCTACAGAAGGGAGCATTTGAAGATACACGTGGCAAAGCACAACATGATAAAACCGTACAAGTGTACGCGCTGCACGAAACGCTTCATCAAAGAGGAACAACTGACGAATCATTTGTCGAAGCATGATCGAACCTTTAAGAAAAATAAAGAAACTGACAGCTCCAAGAGATTCCTTTGCGAAATCTGCTCGAAAAGTTTCACTCAGTCAACGACGTTGATCGCGCATCTCAGGGCACACAACGGCATTAAACCGTACGTTTGCGAGGTTTGTTCGCGACCGTTCACGACGAACGCTTATCTGAAGATGCACATGAGAACGCATACACAAGAGCGACCGTACATTTGTCAGTATTGTTCGCGCGCGTTTGCCAGAGCCGACACGCTCGCCAATCACTTAACTTCGCACACAGGCGAGGCGAAGTATCATTGCAAATACTGCCCGAAAAACTTTCGTCGCCTCAAATCCCTTAAGGAGCACGTGTTTATTCACACCGGTCAGAGACCGTACGCCTGCCCGACCTGCGATCGTCGTTTCAATAACAACGGAAGTCGGTACGCCCACAGCAAGAGGTGCAAACAGAATTTCGTTCAGAATCAGAATCGTGGCCAGGCTTTAACGCAAGTGCAATCATCGCAGAATCAGCAAAGGGTGTTGCAGCAGCAAACCGTTCTTAGTCAGGGTCAGGTGTTGAAATCACAGAATATTAAAACCATCACGATCACTAGACAAACGGAACCGATTACCGGCCAACAAGTTACGCAACATCAAGAAATAATAATGCCACTGATCTTTCCTCTAACTGTCACGGTCGCGGATATTAGCGAAGAGGTTATATTACCGGAGGGGACAAAGTTATTTACGACAACTTAAGTCGCGCGTATGCAACTTCAACGTACGTTTTCAAATGACTTTCACTTATCTCTCTGTATAACGGCTGAAAGCCTAACAGGGATAATCGTCCGTCGATTCGGTTTTCTCTCTTTGTTAACACTATATTGGTTCTATATTTCTCTTGTTACGGCGATTAAGAGAGAAACGGTAGTAAACGAAGAGACGCGAGAATGGGACAAGCGACGAAATTGCGAGGACGTCCGAGATGATCTTTTTAATTTTGTATTATACGTTGTATATCCCTGTTTATATTTAAATGAGAGACGAACCGTAGAATATACATATAGGGATGATGCGGTAAAGTGGTTGTGAAAGGGTAACAAAGATTAGAAGGGGAGGCAGGTAGGCAGAGAGTTTGAATAGGAACTGTTGTTTTCGCGTATTTTTTAACGAGTATAAGATTGTTTTGTTCACACCAATTATCGTATTTTTGTGACACGTCCCCCGTCTGTATTCCTGAACCGTTTAACGTCCTTTGTGGCTCTTATAAAGTTCTGACCAATCACAAGGAACGAATTAACATTTTATGGAAGTACGTAGTAACATATTACATACCATACATATATAGACGCGCGCGAGCGTGTACGTTTGCACGAATAATAAATCGTACAAAACTGGTACAGGACCTTCGTAGGAATTTATGACGTCTTTCCACTTTTCTTTCTCTTTAGTTCTAAGTATCTTTCACCGGAGACGTTTCGAGGATCTGGCAAATTTTATGACATGACTCTACAGATGTTCACATTGATTGAGGATGGTTGTACTAACAATAAGTGTTTATGACGATGATTATTGCTAAAAACATTGGACAATCCTCCCCTATACTTGTAGGAAGAGCCGCCTCCCAAAAACGATGGAAATTCGCTAGCAATGCCACATCTGTTGTTTCTTAATCGTACGTTGAATAGTTCATCATAATTTTATCATAACGCATAACTTTATAATGTATATACCGATTGATTTTTAAGAGAATCATTATCCAAAGATTGTATTATAAATTTCACGAAGAGGGTGACATATAATTTTTTACAAAACATGACTTTCGATCGTTAGATTACAATAAAAACGCGATATAAAGTTGTATAAAAAAAAAAGAATTCATTGTATCGATAGCAACGCCAGAAATAAATTTATTCCCATCATAACGCGTTAAAAATGCGATCAACGGGAATGCAAAATGTGTTCGCGATTCATCGTCGCGTCTGCGTGTAGGTACGCATTTTTTCGATCTGGAATGTCCCGAAGACTTCGACCGAAGCTGGTCTCGTTAGTCGTCGTACATTGGTGAGTACATTGCAATATTGAATGAAACTCGAAGAAAGCACGGGGAAAAGAAAGAAGAGGTCTGTGAACAACGGTTGTACGTTTCACCGCAATATGTCAAATAATTGACAACTTTTACATTCAACAGATATGGATCGAGTTTTATGATTTATTTGTACATAGACGTAAATACTGTGAATAATAAAGCATTTGTAGTATTAAAAATACTTCTGAAATTTTTCGGTCCGCCGAGTCTGATGACAATGGAATAATTGTTTTCGATAACTTAAAGGGTAAAAGATTATGACACGCTCGATGAAACGCGATTCATTTGACGAATACTTTATTAGTAATCATTATATTTCTAGCGAACGTTTGGTCTTTAACCCTCAGACTGCGATACCCTGGGTCTCCCCCTTGATTCGAGTTTTCAAGAACTTTTAACTTATTCCTTAAGTAAATTCGTTTTAAATATATTTAAACAAAAGATGTACTCAGGTTCAAGTTGGCCCAAGCATCACTCTGTCTGTTACGATTACGAAAAACATTCGCCATTCGAGGATTAATGTTTTTGATTTGTGGCGTAATGTAACTTAGGTGTCGTTGATTGTGTACTGAAAATTTCTGGATGATCAACCATCGGTTACCCACAATACGTTTATACCCGATGTACCTAAATTTACGCGACCCAACATGCCGTGATCTCTCGTCTTAACGATGTATAGAAACAACAGAATCGTGTGAAACAAGTTGTTTCTACCCTGCAAATGAAAGAAACTTTATTAAATTTGACGTTCGAATACGAAAGGATACTGCGAAGATGCAGAAGAGACACTGCTTGTAATTTCAATAAACTTATTCACCCGTTGTATTTCTTCGTAATCGCTGGGCAACGAGTCACCGCTGTGTGCTAAACTATAATGAGGCGGACTTATAGATTGGCATACTATTATGGGTCCTTTGCTGCGCGGTAAAGTCATTCCAGATCTAGCCATGTATCTCGATGTGAAAGGTCGTGCATCCGGTTGATCTAACGGAGCTTCTAATTGCGTATCCATGTACGTAGATATTAAATGCATGATGATCTGCAGAAATAACAAAGTTCCACGTTGAACAGATTATCGTGACAACGTTGCGAATTCACACGAAACGAGTCAAGATTACCGCCGAATCAGTCGGCAAACTGGAGTCCCATTCTTTGCCACCATGGGATCCTCCGCCGTTCCACTTAAATTCGCTCATAGAACCTCCTTTCGCGAGAACCTTGATCCTATTGACCAGGTATTCCTGATTGTTCGAAAGCTCCAGAAAAGGTACCAAAGTTGGTAGTGTAGGAATTGCGGTGACTAAAAATGGTGCTTGAGCCAGCTTTCGCAATCTATCTAAGCCAACGTGACCCGGTTGAGAATCGCTCAATCCGTGACGAATCAGAGCAGAGCAAACATTGTCAATCTCTGTGGCTACCCGTTCAACGACTGTCTTGCTTATCCACTGGAATGAACAGAACTTCTCGTTAACAACAGGCGCTCGACTGTCAGGAAATTCGTTTGAAATTAAATCACTTCTGTTTACCATACGAAGATTGGCTGTCCACTCGTTCACTTTGTTCGGATCGATTCTATATTTTCTCCAAACATCTGATATGCCGAGCATACCTCTGGGTGAATTTCCTTCTTCCGTGCCAGGACTAGACGACTTGGATTTATCTGAACAAACCAGAATACATATATCGTGACGAAGCTGAAATTTGTCCGCCGTACAAAAACATTTACGTGTATAATGTACCGATGATAGGTGCTAATTGATACGCGCATCTTCTCAACATTGGCGAAACTTCTCCCGGACTTCTAATTGCAGGATGCGACCAGAAGGAGCTAAGCAAGTTAGAGGGTTGATCGATGTCGGTCGATAGTACATGCTTTCTTTGTCGAGTTTCTTCCAAATAATTCTGTAGTTCCTTTTCATTTTGAATCAGATCCTCACCGGTTAAATTTCCATTCACTGATGATGCATTAAATGACTTATTGAACGAACCATTGGGACTGGATGCTGATTTCTGAGAGGCTGGACTACCATACTTAAAAAATGGACTTGTCGATGAGAAATTCTCTTGAAAAAATAACACATAAAATTACTATAAAATAAATGAATTTGCTTATGGAGATTAGAATATAAGGAAAAAACAATTTGTACTGGATTCATTTAATCCTGGAGAACCGAGAGATGTCAAACACCTATTGAGACTTATACAGGACAAATTCAAAGGAGACATTGGTTCCGATGTGTTTTGAGGTAATGGCACTTCATTTCTGAAAATGGGATCATCAGCGGACACACCCAAAAGTCGTCTCTGTCTAGGGCTTAGAGTAACTGGCCTTAAAGTGAAGGTTGCCCAAGCGTATTGTGTTATGTGATAAAGAGCGTTCAATGCAAATATGGAAGCTAAACACCACTCGACCCAACAGAATGGTTTATACGCGGCACCTCCGTATAATCTGTAAAATCAAACAAAGTACAATGTGAGTTCCTCGATTCTTAGATTTCACTGTGTTGACCGTTTGCTTGTTAGAAAATAAAGACTCCTTACATGTCAAAGACGATGATCCCGAGTAAAGAACTATTGACAAAAAACCATGTGATACTGTTTCTCGCTCTACTCTGCGCCTGTCTTACGTCAAGTGTCTGCTCTACTTGAGATTTAGCAGTTAAAATCCTATGGGAAAGAATTATTTAACAATTGTGCGAGATATAAACACCCGGCATTCTAACCTATCTTTAAATCACTTATCGAATTATTATCTTACCTCGCATTAGGCGAAATGCATCGCATCGGAGAATGGAAACTACTCATTTTTTTTATCGATTCACCCTGTAAGTTGCTAGGACAAATAAACCTTACTAACGTTCGACTAACACTTAAAAAAAAAAAAAAAAAAAGGAAAAGAAAATAGATGTATGGGCACCCTATCCCTCTAGCGCCCATCAATGTTTTCATAAATCGCCACCTCGTGCGATCATGAATTTATAAAGTTAGCGCGCTTTTACTTCAAGTATGTTCGGTATCGTTAGTCGACAATTGAGACCCTTTAATTAAATTACCATTTATCTGTACGATGCAATATCCCGAATAGGTATATTCTATCAAACAAGTTTGCACCAAGTAATACAATAAAAAGATGAAACTCCGAACGTAATGAGGAAAGATGTAAATGATAGTAAACGATAAACAACTTAACAATTTGTAGTTTTTAATTTTTATATCTCAAGCTGCAGATTTAGCCAACTTAACAAGAACCTTGTTCTTCTCCACATTATCGCCTATTGAACACAACACATTTTCAACCGTTCCATTAATGGATGCTCTGATCGTATGCTGTGAAGAAAAATAATGTTAATTTTCAAATATCAAACATGGTGCATTGGATCATCCATTGCTTGGATGTTGTATTTATTAACTTTACGGAAAATTAAAACTTACTTCCATTTTCATAGCGGTAATAACGAGTAACGGATCACCGACTTTTACCAAGTCTCCTTTATCGACAAAGACTTTTTCTACAAAACCCGGCATAGGACTTAATGCTGTGCATGAATCCACATCGAAATCTTTACTTGCAACGTTTGAAAGAAATTTCATAGAAGGTACTTCAAATTGCCATTCGCGATCCTGCGTGGAGAGAATGTAAAATTAAACAGCTTGAACGGTATTTCCGGAAATGAATAAAGGTGAACATTGGGGGAGGGGAATAGAAATACTAACTTTAGTAAACAAATGTAATTTGTTACGAATCTTAATTATCGACGACCTAGTGATTTTTCCGTCACATTCAGTACATAATTCGAACGAGTTCTCTATCTTTTTTAACATGCCCGTTACTCTCCTCCAAGGGCCCATTTTATTCACTCTGACAGAATAAACTTCAGGCTCGATGTATTTTACTTCGACATCAATGTCATCGTCGCAAACCTTGAATCGAAAAGTTCGTTTTAAAGTATAATTCAATCTAGATCCGATTTCTGTAGCAAAAGGGCTGAAAGGATCGGTAGTTGGTAACGAAGACTGTAACGAAAACGCATCTTCGTAAAATATTGAAGCGAGGGCGGCTTCGACTGCGATCGAACTTGGAACGTGTAACTTAGGAAACAATTCTTGGTAGTGCTCTTTTATGAATCCTGTGTGCACTTGACCTTGCCGAAAATTGGGATGAGAGCATAAATCCTTGATGAACTCTATATTGGTATCCAATCCGGCTATCTGAAAATTCGCGTTTCAAAACTTACTAATAATTCCTACATACACTTGCCCGAAACGTTCATCTGTTACACTGTAACAATACTTGCGTTATATTCGCTTAGTTTCGATCGAAGAATGGCCAATGCTTCACTTCTGTCTTTTCCCCAGACGACAAATTTGGCAATCATCGGATCGTAATGAACCGATACTTCATCTTTTTCACGAACTCCGGTTTCCACCCTAACCGTGTCTGACACGATTCTCGGAACTCTCAAGTATGACAGTTGTCCAGCTCCTGGTAGAAAACCGTTCCTTGGATTCTATGATTTATTACAACGATCAACAAACTCAAAGAAGAAGCAACTAATGATACTAACGTATCAACGAAACTTGACATGCACCGAATACATAAAGGGCAGATTTATCTTACTTCATTTTCGAAACGTTCGAACAACCGATTCATTGATTATCAAAAAATGTTTTACCTCGGCATAAATTCTTGCCTCGAACGCATGTCCGTTAAACGCGATTTGGTCTTGTTTTAATGGAAGTTCTTCTCCTGCTGCGACTCGTAATTGCCATTCTACTAAATCCAATCCCGTGATCGCTTCGGTGATAGGATGCTCCACTTGAAGACGTGTGTTCATCTCCATGAAATGAAAACTATTTCCATCGCGATTCATGATAAATTCTACGGTACCTGCGCCAACGTATCCTACTGCTTTGGCAGCTTGAACTGCTGTCGTACCTAGATTCGTTCTTAAGTCTGCTGTGATGCCAGGCTACGATACATCATGCATATGTACAGATCTATAATTTTACATTTTAACTGATACATCGATTATTGCTAACTCGAAACTGTCAATCAAACATACCGCAGGAGCTTCTTCGATAATTTTCTGATGTCGCCTTTGAACGGAACAATCTCTTTCAAATAAGTGCACAACGTTTCCGTGCTTATCAGCGAATACTTGCACTTCAATATGCCTCGGTTCGTTGACATAACATTCAAGTAAAACTGATGCGTCGCCAAATGCTTTCTCAGATTCGGTTCTTGCAGCTTCTAAAGCTTCGATAAACTTTGGTTCCTCGAACACGATTCTCATTCCCTTTCCTCCTCCGCCGCGTACCGCTTTTATCATTACCGGAAAACCTATTCTTTGTGCTTCCATCAGCAGAGTTTCGTTAGACTGGTCGTTTCCGTGATATCCTAGAACGGTTATAGCATAATTGGAAAATTTCGATACTTTTATGCATACGTATCGTTATAGAGAGTCTTTCATTTATCGCGTCTGTTTTCGTGTTGCCATTATTGTAACCAATACCAGAAAGTATGTGTCTTTTGCTGTCAAAGGGAACAGGGACATATAAAAGGTGAATATGATGTACAAAGAACCCTACATATTTCGTAACGAGATGTCCATACCAGCTACAACAGGTACACCAGCTTTCATCATTATAGTTTTCGAAGTATTCTTTATTCCCATATTTCTGATGGCACTTGGTGGTGGTCCAATAAATACAATGTTTTCTTTCTCACAAAGCTCTGCAAATTCTGCATTTTCCGAAAGGAATCCATACCCGGGGTGTATCGCTTGACATTTTGATTTTTTTGCAACAGACATAATTTTATCCTGTCGCAAATAACTCTGGGTAGAAGGTGCTGGACCAATGCAGTACGCTTCATCTGCTTGTTCAACATGCATGGCGTTTCGATCTGCATCGCTGTATACAGCAACAGTTTTAATTCCTAGTTTTTTGGCAGTTCTCGCAATACGGCATGCTATTTCACCTCTGTTTGCAATAAGAATCTGCCAAGCAGATAAAAATTGTAATTAGTTACACAGAAAATTACTTACTGAGTTGCTTCTTACAAATTGATCCTTACCTTATCGAATCTGGATACAGAAATTCTTGAGATATGGATGTTCCGTACATTTGAGAGTAATTTGCTGTACATAAACAGTAACAAAAAGTATGATGATCGTTTGCTGTGAAAATTTTTAACGATTTACTTACTGTAAAACTGGAGCACTTATTCTTTCAAATCGATGCATGGTCCTGTTCTGCAGTAGATTACGACAAGAAATGGTCGGCACCGTTAAATTTCGCCTCGTGTAATCCTTACTCTGTTCACGATGAATATTGAAACAGATAAATACGTATGAGCAAAGCAATCGTTAATTTTTATCGAAAGGTTAGATGCGTAAACTATATACTTACCAGTAGATAAGATAATTGAGTGGAATAAGCATACGCAATTGACAGTTAAGTTCATGTAAATATACGCTGGTGTTCCCATTTAATTCTAGACATTGTTTCTTGATTAAAGCGAATAGATGAATTTCCTAAAAGTGAACGTGTTACATTTCTCTTATCCTATTACCAAAGTTAATGATAAATACTAACTTTCCTTTACCTGGAAAAAAGCTTGGCCCATGACGGAATCGAACCCGCGACCTTCGCGTTATTAGCACGACGATCTACCTAGCTTAATTAAAAAAAATAAAATTAAGAAATGGGAAATAAACAAAAATGAAAATGCTTGTTCCATTTATTGATATTGACAAAATTATCTTCGATTTTATTTACCGTTGTCCAAGTTTGAACGTATTACAACAATGTAATTTGTTAAGTAAATTTTTTTCTGCATAAAAAATACATGAATATAATATAGACTATAGACCAAGTCATACAAGGATACGTGTTTCTTCTGAATCATACACAACTTTCAACACATTCGAGGCCAACGTATTATTACAAGTCATCGGCTAAACGGATGAAATATTGCACGACTCATACGCTGGGTCATCAGTCTTGAATGTGTACAGATACTTATGTTAAACTCAAAATTTCTAATGCTCAATTCAAGAATATAGAATCTGCCACCTTCAATCGATATAAATAGAGCAACCAGAACATAAGGTTAAAAAAGTAAATGAGGTGAAAAAGCATGGAAATTTTTAAATCTTTTTCCGATTGGTTGGTAATCACACACCTCGATATCGGATTCCGAGGAAGTATCAATTTCTATAACATTAACGGTTCTACTCTGATCATCTAATTCTAATATTTCTTCATCCTCTCCAGAGCATACATCTATCTCTGATTCTATGTCATTGTCCTGAACTTTTAAATCTATCTCCCTGGATGTGGAGTAACTTAAATCTGTGTTACATGTTTCCAAATCATTTAAATTATTATTGTCTTGTTCATTTTCCATTCCAGTTGTATTATCAGTGGAGCTATTGTTATTTATTATTTCATGCAATGGTGTACCAATTTCAACTGGATTAAGTGGTCTATCTATGGTTGCAATCTCTTTTTCTGACGTTTTATCGTTAATTGTGTTCATATTTTCCAAGGAATAACCAGGATTTTTGTTCTGTGATACATCTGTGCTTTTGGTACTCGAGGGTAAAACATCAATGGAATTAAATGTATTGTTTAGGGAGCAACATGAAAAAAGTAATCGAGCACGTAAATTGATATAGGACTGCACATTCTGAACACACTTATGGCACAAGTTGACCAACTGCTTGTTTTGTCCCACAATCTAAGAATAGAAAATCAAATAGAAACATGACTCTAAACAATTGTAGGGCATAACATTCAAAAGAAAGATACCTTCAGACCGGTGATTAACTCGATACTGTCGCTTAGTTTCAGTTGTTTTGAATTTTGGTTCGTTTCACGAGCATTACCGGTGTATTCAGGTACAGAGATCCATAAATTTTCATCGTATATGCTCCCTTGTTCATCGATCGGAATTGTTGTGAAACAGCCGCAACAAACATTTTGCTAAAATTCCGTATAATAAATTGATTTCACGTCAGTTAAATTTATTCTTTAGACAAAAACTATAATCAGGTTAAGCACGATAAATGTGTGTTTATACTATGAACGACGCAGAAAATTTTCATCAATTTGGATCTTGTATTTCTTTCTTGCACTTTTACCATTTTTGTATGTTTCCTCAAATGAATCTTCAACTATTTTAAAAAATTATTTGAAGGTTTTCCATGACAGCTACAGCACACAGCAATACGTTGGACAATAGAACTAAAATTAGCAGCGACTACATTGCGTTCTTAGAAATATGTATGTATGGATATGATCGACGGTACGTGCAAAAGTACACACATCCTTGTATAATACATGTATATACGCATACCACTTGCTGCGCACTTATTGAATACAATGGCTTTGCCGGCTGCTCACACTTCGTACGTTGTTGAAAAATATGAAATCCTAACTTGAAACGGGAAAATATTATCGTGCTAATTCAAGTTTGCCAAATTAATTATTCTTGAACACCGTCATTAAAGAGGAAATTTATTTCCTGTGGAGTCGGGAAAACAAAAGAAAGCTAATGTGTAAACGATTACGAATCTTTATTATGCGATACAATGTAATCGTTTCGTATTCACTGAGTTTTCAATGGGGATGACACCAGGCCTAAAAGAATACAATCTGCTTCCAAAATCGTCAAGTCAGTAGTTGACCCTAAGAATCTTGTAGACAATTCTAAATCATTTATCCTTAAATTGACTCTTGCACCTCTGATATATTTTCTAAAAGATTGAAACAATTAAGGTTCACCAAAATCAAGATTTGTGGAGACCATAATTGATTTATTACTTACTCTGAGTTTATTTTGGGTTTTGAACACACACAATGAAATTTCCATCCAAAGTCAATATATAAGTCATTCCCTACAACATTGAAAATTTCTCCCAGTACAACCTTTCCTACAGGATCTCCAAGCTGAAACAAATGATTCTATAGAACTAGATACAACATTATGTTAGATTAGGTGCAATGATATAGAATATGTAACATTTACGTCCACAAACTTGGAATGCCGATTATTATCGAGCGCGGAATTTTTGTGGGATTGTTTTTCCGTATGAGCTACACTTTCATTTAAAGTTTTGCTTGTACTACAATTTCGTATGAGCATCGAATGTCTTTCGAGTTTCGGAATAACACGTAACTGTCTTATCATTCTTCCGTAACGCTGTATCTTCTCCATGATTGTATACACGAGAAACGTGCCGCTTAACAATAGTTAAGTAGGTTATGTTCGAACATTTGTTTTGAAACATTAGTTCCATTTAAATTCGAAATTGAAAAGGGTTATAAAAAATCTCGCAGAACTGCAAGGCAATTTCGAGCACTTGGGTACGTTATGTGATTAATATTAATATTATATACGTTAAAATTCATTCAAATTAATCATAAATTAAAAATTACCAAAGTTACGTGTTTTTTAAAAACTTCTACAATTTTCGAGTCAGAAATTGTTGAGAAACCATAAAGTTATTTCAAATGAGTCAGATTAATCACTTGTGTGTGATTTACGACGTAAACTTCTTATTGTTAACCATAAAACACAATATTTCGTACTAAGAGATTCTACTCTAGATTTCTACTCGAGATTTAAGACGACGTAAGTAATTCTTTTTTCAGGAAACCTCACAGTAATGTCTGCAGGTAGTGCTATGTTTAGTATTTTGCGTAGAAGTTTTACTACGTCGACAGTGTCGAATCAAATAATCAAACTTACACGATTAAGAGTTGTGGATAATAGTGAAATAGGAAAGCAGGCTATGCTGGAAGGAAAACCACCGCGTTGTATTCACATTTACAATAAGAAGTCAGTCGGATATTTAGGTGAGAGAACTGCAGATAAATTTTATGGAACATTTTCTTTTATCCCCTTAAATTAATGCAGGAGATAAAGTGATGATTGCAATAAAAGGTGAAAAAAGGAAAGCTATACTGGTTGGCTTGAAACAGCGTCAGAATACAAAAGTTCCAAAATTTGATAGCAATAATATAGTTCTGATAGATGACAATGGAACACCCGTGGGTACCAGAATTCATGTTCCGATTCCACATATCCTGCGAACAATGATGAAAGAAAAAACTCACAGCAAGGGTGCAGATTATACCAAATTGTTAGCCATTGCTACGAAATTTGTTTAATTAACTACTGTGTTTAGAATAAACTATTTGTAAATGTATTGTTTCAGTTATACCTGTGGTCTATTAAACTATTTCAGTATATGTATTTAGAAATGTACGCTTTGTAGTTACTATAATAATACTATTAGGATTAAGAAGTACTGTTAAGTCATTTTTAACTAGTGAGTTCTAAAATGTCACTGTGACGTTTTTCAACTTTACTTGACTGTGCTTTAACTGTTTTTCGAACGGTAAATATTCTACGAAGCCATTTATAACGAAATGGTTAAATAAGTTAGTTTCTTTATAGTTTTTAAATTATAGTAGTCAAATCTATCATCGATTTCCAATGTGTATAGTTGGGAGCTGATAAGTTGCCGAGCTCCAATAACCTGAACGGCACAGGGGAAAGTGGTGCTCTTTATCGCTCTATCTCACTTGATCTCGTGTGTCTTGTTCGCTCTCTTCGTCACCTGTGAATTTGATTCGTTGGCAATTTGTGAGCTCCCAACCATACTGCCCTCAATTGTTTATCAAGAATTCCCGCGTCTAATCATAAGACAGGGTCTGCTACGTAGCTTTATTGATGAATCCAACTAGCAGACCTAGAATGAAGTGCTCCTGATGTTCCCCCTTATTTTCTCTCTCCTTCCTTTCTCATATGTTTCATTAAAGCTGCTACAATAACATAATATTACATGCTTTTTTGTGACAATTTTCTGAAAACTCAGAAGTCCACCAAGCAGCTGAAAATGGCAAGAGGCACTTCGCTCACACGCGGTGTTGTGTGATCTGATTGGTGATGTGATTGTGTTAGCCAATAAAAACAATGTGTGTGTCTAATAACCAATCGGTCTTGCATACCCTTCACTAGACTTCTTTTGAGCAACGCACTTTATCCAGCTTTATCTTAGATGTTCTGCTGTAGATGACACCACGGTTCCGTTTGACTAGCGGCCTCATTCTTATGTATATGTTGATTATTAGTTAATAGCTTTCATGGAAATTCAACGGACAATGTAAGACAAATTGAAAAGAATATGTTAACGCAATTTACGCGGTTTTTTATTTTCCGTCTACAAACTTTGACCATTGAATTACATTAAATATCATTGAATATAACAACGTAAGAAAGAACACTCATTCAAAACTAATGGCTATGAAGCTCTGCAGAGCGAAGAAAACAATGATCAAAATATATATTTTGCCTGCAGCCTAATAATACTCTTTACACGCAGATGAATATATAAGAGCCTGAGTATGAGACTGCAAGTAAAATAGATTCGGAATTAATGGTAGAAGGGCATTGTAACGAAGGTGTTCGTTTGTTTTTTGTTGCGTATTCTCCCAAAGAGTTCTGCTTCGATACAAATATCTCGATGAAATTGCAAATCTTATGGTCTAGGCGGCGATGGTTGTCTCTGGTTGTCTCTTACAAATGGCGACTCCCGGAGAAGCACGCCGACTCGTTTAACCGCGAGTATTTCCACTAACCAATTTTATAGAAAAAAGTATTCAGCGTTTTAACGTACAGATTTAGATCTGTGAACGCAGTTTGAGTGATTTGCCATTTGCACATTGAAAATCCAAATTAGTGGAATTGTTAACCATAAAATTCGGCAGAAATGGGAAACGTACTAGCCGCTTCTGCACCTCCACCACCTCCACCGCCACCCCCGGCATCGAGTGTGCTGCCGAATTTAGGGAAGCCAGATTCCTCCGCAGGCTTTTATGCCCCCACTGAACTCCCGGATCGCATAGAAAATCCAGGAACGATCGAGGATCTTCATAAGAAGTGCAAAGGTATCTTTATAGCTGGATTCTTTCTTTGTCGTGTATACTTTGCTACGGTTTGGGCTGTCCTATTCACTGTCTCGCATTTTTTTTCGTTTCATTATATTACAAATACGTATACAGCTTATTCGAATACAGTTAACTTTGGTTTTAATATTAAGTCTTAATGTTATGGCAGATGTGTTTCCTGTAAATTTTGAAGGAGCAAAACTGATGTTCAGTAAAGGGCTCAGTTATCACTTTCAAATTTCACATACGATAAATATGAGTTCTTTTGTTCCATCGGGGTACAGGTAAGATTATGCTGTAAATTCACTTGAATATAATTTGACAAGCATCACTGACATCAGTCCGTTATGTTCAGGTTTGGAGCAACGTATGTTGGTACAAAACAGCTGATACCTAGGGAAGCTTATCCTGTGTTAATGGGTGACATTGATCCAAGTGGAAATCTGAATGCCAATGTCATGCACCAGTTTGGCCAAAGATTGAGGGGGACATTAGCAACCCAAGTACAAAAGAGTAAATTTACTGCTGTACAGTTGACGACGGATTATCGTGGAGATAGTTATACAGTCTCTTTGACTCTAGGCAATCCAGATATAATTAATGGTTCTGGTAAGTATGCGAGGTGAAGAAGAATGTTGTAAAATGTTAGTATTGATTATGATACAATGGCGATTGTTTTCAGGTGTATTTGTGATGCATTATCTTCAAAGCGTAACACCATCTATAGCACTTGGTGGCGAATTCGCGTATCAACGTGGTTTACCAGGAGGTCAGATCGCTGTTGTTTCAGCCGCCGGAAGGTATACGAACGGAGATTCCACGATCACTGGAAGTCTAGGTATGTGAACGATTGCATTCGGGTCTCTTATAATCGTTAAATTTTCGTTGGTTTCACCTTTCACGAGAAGACTATCAGTTGGTATAACTTACCCGTTTTTCACTAGGAATGAACAGTTGTCATGTATGTTTTCATCAAAAAGCTAGTCAACAGTTACAAGTCGGTGTAGAGTTAGAAATTAACAGTAGAATACAGGAATCCACTGGAACAATCGCTTATCAAGTCGATTTGCCTAAGGCCGATTTAGTGTTCAAAGGTACAGTGCCTATTTTCTATGAAGTAGATGTTATAATACGAACTATTCAGCGGAATGAAGCTGAAATTATTTCTGCTTTCATTTGTAGGAAGCGTCGACACAAATTGGACAGTAAGTGCTGTTTTGGAAAAGAAATTGCAGCCGTTGCCGCTTTCGTTCGCGTTAAGCGGTGCAATGAATCATAGTAAACAACACTTTCGACTGGGCTGCGGTGTAATAATCGGTTAAGGATAGTCTAGCAGTCGAGTATCGATTACGTATGTGATCTAGCCGAACGATTGGAAGGGAAGCGACAAGAGTATTTCGAGTTCTGTGCACTCCCCTTACGAGAATGTAGTAATTAGCGTCTTTAAACACCTGAACACCTCTCCTTTCTCCTTGTTGATTACCTCATCGACTCGCTGTCATATTTATACGTTCGTTCTGTTTGTTTATCTTTGATTAAAGGGACACCGTACCAACAGGGTACTCTCATCATCTCCGCGTATGTTCCTGCACTTTGTGGCATGCATTTTTCGCTGTCTTTGTTCGCGTACGGGTGATAAAATCATTGCGTTAAATTGTGCAATTTCCCCCACCCCAGTGATTGTCGTTTTCTTCATTTTCATACTAATTACTATGGTTGATGTGTCAGGAGATGTTGCATGTCCAACATCTGTACATTCTCATGGTCTCTGCGTGTACGAATTTATAGAGATGCGTTTATCATTCGGCCATCCTGGAAAAGTAACGCGGCGGCAATCTTATGTAAATTTTCTATGTGTATATAAGTCGGAATTCGTTCGCGCGTATACGCATCAAAGTACAAGTGTATGTACGTCCACGTTCAGAACCGTGTTTAATAATTGTTACAGGCAGCATAGTGTCACTGGCACTCGATTTTTGTTGCGTGGCAGATTATACGTGAAATCGCGTTATACGTGATTCCGTCGTCATTTCTTCCCCCCCCCCCCCCTCCCTCCGGCGTTTTCAGTTCTAAGTAACAGAGAAGAAACTTGTCGGGAATTTCCTAGATGATCCTGCCGCGAAGACAGGCTGTGATTCCCAGTGTACTTCTCTTCATTGAGCACTATCCTCTCGGAACACGCTAAACAATGTGTACTCCTATAAAATGTTTACGTAGCCAGTGTAACGCGTTACTCTTTACCACGTTGAAGTTGGTTGCAAGGGAAACATAGAAAATGTATGTCGCGAGAAGGAAATGTTCAGTCGTACCGGTTTTGTTGAAGGTCGTTTTGCGAACGGAATCCGTGCCGAAAATACCGAACCCCTACTGAAGTAAGAAAAACGGGGAGAAATAGATTCGATAACTCGGTAACTCGAGGCATCGGGCCAGAATCGAATGAGATGAAGAAAAAATTAGAATAAAATTGACTTTAACAAATGAACGTTGGTGAAGATTTCAATGACCTTCCCACCTCCTCCTATTGCTCTGTAGGGTCGCGACCGTTACTATGATTTTCGATTTTATTGTCGAGGTTTGTACAGCGGGGTTCGTTCGGAAAAGTCTCAGTTGACCGTAACAGCGAGTGTGTATATACCTATGTAACAGGTTCATTAACTTGCACGCGTTATCGTTCTTTTTCTGGCGATAGTTTGCAAGACATGTATACATATATTTACGTACACCTATAAGTAAACTCGGCTTCCAGTAGGGGAAAAAGTGGCGTAGAGGAAGGGTCTCCTACCACTTGGTAAATTTATTTCAAGTACTGAAATAAATGTTACACTGAATGTTAATTCAGTACTTGAAATAAATTTACAAAGTGTAGGAGGTTCCCCTACGCCACTTTTTCCCCATAGTGGAAGCAGAGTTTGCACGTGAGTATAATAGAAAGCGTGGGCGATACCAATCCGTCCGAGTTAAGGTGAACATTGAAGTTTAATCTTGGTAGTCTGTTTTGAAAAGGCGTGCGACAATTCGCCAAAAGAAAGTGAGAAGGAATGTGTATACATAACATATTATGAAAGCGAGTTGGAACGAGGTTAACGATAAAATACTAGGCGGCGATTATATTTTCGGTACGGGAATTATCAGTGGGTACCGATACGCGGCTTGCGTTGTTCGCCCCTGCCTGTAACGTTTCAAAAGAATAACACAAAACGAAATTAACCTTTGACCGATTGTCTAATCCTCCATCTTTGCTCCACACGTAAATAGTTACAAGACGAGTTGTTTTCACCTTGAGTGAAATAACGGCGTAACATCACCGGTAGTTAACGCGCAGCGATAACGACAATTTGCTCGTTCGCTTTGCGAGCGAAATAATTCAATAAATTGTTTCTTCTTGATTCACGAAGGTTCGAGAGAACGTGGCGCAAAGGAAAGAAACCATTTGGTTCGCGAATGGGACAAGATTTTGTATGGAACCGTTGTTACAGCAGCGGTAGGATGCACTATACGCTACAATTAGAGATAGTAATCGTGTAATTATAAATTTGTTTTCTGTTTGAAGCCGAGCCTCTGCTTAGCTTTTGTTTCCTCGGTTTTGATTGGTTCCAGCGGGGACCCCCCTAGTGGTGGGAATAATGGCGTTGCTCGTGTCGCATTCATCGAGAAATCACTGTAGATACTAATGTGCACTGAATATATACTGATACAATATTTGGGGACTCGAATGAATGAATGAATGAATAAATAAATGAATGACGGTGTCTGTCAGACCGATGGATTGATAAATGGATCATATTTAAAATGTACGGAATAAACACATCCTTGAATATCGATTCGTTTCCGGTAACTCGTTACCCTTAACCGACCAAGACGATTGATCGATATCAACAGTCTCGGATAAACGAACTGGAGGATTCCGTTTGCGGCATATATACGATCTTGTTCGAACGTTTACGTGGCATTACGCGAGGTACTTTATTAGTGTCTAATATTTTCTTTCTTGTCATCCTAGGAGAATACGTTCTTTGATGGGTAAACAGCCAACTAGGGGTAACAGCACATAGCGTAGGTCGGCGTGAATCATTCCAAGCTGGGATGATCGACGTAGGTTCCGCCTTTTTTTGTTTTCGCGTCCCTTTGGTTTTCCTCGTCACTGGTGTTTCATGGATTCATCATCGTATTTACCTAGGCGCAGGTAATTTGTTTACGTGTAACACGAAGCCATAGAAAAATAAGTGCTCTGAGTCATTGCGAGGATTGGTATCCTTAGATACGTGGCGTGACCGACGTCATTTATTTTTGAAAAATAATTACCCTGAGAAACCGCGATTGGGAAGAGCTATTTCTAACGTACGTACACACATTGTTCGTATACATATTTTATCTGTATTTATTCAGTGTATAATTACGTATTTGTATGTATTTGTCGACGAACGCAATAGGTACGTGCTTTTTATGTCGTTTTGTCTTTCATCTGCAACGGTAGAAATACAATTCTATCGAACATTTGATTTGGAAGACAGAAAACGTTTCTGATTATTTCGACCAAATATAAATCGATTATGTACATATGTATGTACTTTGCGTTTCAACCTGTACGTAGTGTGCAACAATGAAATTAACACTAGAACTACCGCACCCGTCAAAATGAAGGATTTCAGATTCTATGTTTTACAATCATTGAAATCCTAGAGATACTTTCATCGGAATTATTACGTACAAAATTATATTGCATTATATATTACACGTATTAATATATTACACAATTTAGTTTACCATGCATTCCATGCTGGTACTTCTAGTGTTAAGAATAATTTGGGTTGTAGAGGTAGGAATGGAAGGAAGATCGGTGAGAAACTGGGAGGTAAACGGTGTGTGCCGGTGGCAACGTCGACGAACAAGGAGAACGAGAAAAAAGAAGAAGAGAAGAAAATCCGTTTTGGAAAGGGGGTGGGGAGGGGTCGAGGTAAACGAAACGCTGGCGAAGAATGAAGAGGAGAGGTCGGACGACGAGAGGGTGCAGGAGAAGGTAGGGGACAGATGCACATATATGTCTTATAAATACATATGCATATGTACATACATATATTCTGACTAGCTGATAAGAAAAACGCCGTGTTGCGTCGGTACGGGATAGAAGTCACGCATGCGCTTTTTGCGATGGAGGGAAACGGAGAGAATTTGCGCATACTGATGCACATACCTCTACCTCCAACCACAAACGAGCTAACGACGATCCACGCCGTCGCAATCGAGCCGGCGTGGCGGTGTGCATATAGTTTTCCCCTCGGTGCTATTCGCGATACTCCCACTACATCACGTTGTTGTCGGCGTGTGCACGTTTACCGAGCTTCCCTATCTGACCCAACAGGTTGTGGGTATCCCCGACGTGCTTAACGTTGTCCTTCTATTTCTTTACCAGTCTTGCAGCTAATTAATTGCGTTCGTTTTCTCTTCAAATTGCATTAAACTTTCCTCGATTTCAAGTAGGGCTTGAAACGGTAAGTAATTGTTTCAAACTGGTATACAAAGGTTCCGACTGAAACGGTTACGAAGAACCTTTATTCCGAATAACTGTTATGAAGAACATAAAATTCAGACTGTATCAATTTCAGTTAAGGTTCTTAGCTACATCAGTTCTAAAACCGTTATTTTTAGGTTCTATACAAGTTCCCAAACTTTTACAGTCTATTTTTTGCAACGTCATATTAGAAAACACTTTTTATATTACAAAATCATTGTATGTATACAAAGGTGTACATATATATCTACTTAATTAATAATTTTAACAAAATTCTGTACAATCATTACGAAAATAGGTTGTATAACTCTTTTGGAACTTGTATAGAACCTAGAAAATAACAGTTATAGAACTGATATGGGAGTCAATACAAGAACCTTAACTGAAACTGTTATAGTCTGAAATTTAGATTCTATAAACAATTATTCAGAATAAAGGATCTTCAAAACTGTTCCGATATCATAACCCAGATAGCACATGACGTCTAATGACGTCTCGAAGACGGTTTAAAGACGCCTTAGATCTAAAATAGCCGTGAAATGGGCGTCTTCAAGGCGTCATGTGTTATCTGGAAACAGTTTTCAAGCCCTGATTTCAAGTCAATCAGAATTGAATCGATTTTCAACGCGATCCAATTCGATCGAATCAAAAGTTATTTACCCTACTTTATTCCATACTACACATGTACACATATATTACTTTCAATTTCTTTCGAACATCCAGATAATCGTCAGCGAGTTTCTTTCCTGCACAACGCGCGCGTTCGCGCATACACACATACATACGGACGCGCAGGCCGTGCACACACACACTTCCCTCTCCCTCTTTTTCTCTTCCTATATCGAGCAGTCTCTTTGCCGGTTCCACCTTTGCTCGCTCGTTTTCCACTATGTACATAATATACATACAGCAATCTCGCTATCAATTCATAGAGCAGCAGTTACCGTGTACACTCCTCTGACCAGCTAACAAATTTCGGCAGATTGCATGGTAATTTCGTTGCCACCCTGTTGCGCGTAAAAATTGTAGCATCGAGATTCAATAAGCACGAAATAATCGACAAGCAAGTGTGAACTGTACGAGGTGAAAAGAAAGTATAGAAGAAACGTTCTTGAGGGGGAGAAGGGAAAAACATGATCGGCTGTTTTTCCGAAGCAATTTGCCATCGATACGATAATCTTGGCAAGTAAAGCGCGCGTGAGAATGAAGAAGAGAAGCACCAATCAGATCCGTCGGGAGACATCGAAACATGGACAACGCGAATACGGTAAGTGATTTTTGCTCGATGGTTTTCACGATCGAAGGATTCCCATCGGGAACGAATATTGTTGCGGTGAATCCGTTGGAATCGGCACGATCAAACGTTCTTGTGGTACAGATGACAAAGGTTCGATAGCGTAGAGTAGAGAAATCGGTAGTCGTCATCACGGATCGGTGGTTCGCAAATCATTGGAGAAATCGGGGGCCAATCGCCGAGGTTGCGTATATATATGGACACCCACGTGCAAACTCGGCTTCCGCTAAGGGAAAAAGTGAGGTAGGTGTACCTCTTCCAATTTAGTTTTGGAGTTACTGAAATTTATGCCAAATTAACATTTACTTCAGTACTTGAAATAAATTTACTAAGTGGTGGGAGACCATTAGAACACTTTTCTTCTATGCCACTTTTTCTCCTAGCGGAAGCTGAGTTTGCTCGCGAGGGTACGTTGGACATCATCACGGTGATAATTCTGCTACTGGTTCCGATAACGAGTCTAGTCGCAGCCGTTGTCGTTGACCACTTCACGGACCATCGAACGGGAACGAGTCTAACCTCAATGGTGTGCTTCTGCTGCTACCACAGAATCGTTATCCACAGCACCTGCGAACGGATAGTAATTACGAAACGATCTGTGATGTTTCGTGTATTCTCTCCTCGAGTAAGCGATCCCATGAGATCACTTTCGGAATAAAACGAGGGCTGAACGAGCTGGTTGTTTTCTGTAAATACGCGATGATTCGCGTCATCGGAATATATTCGCAATAAATCTTGTATACTTTCGATCGTTCGGTCGTAACAGAGCAAACAAAGTCCATGTTTGTGGAAAGCGATGTACGATGGTTATCTCCGTCCATATCATGATTCGCCTATCTTTTTTTTCTTCTTTCGCCTCCTTCTCTTTCTGTTCGTTTTCACCTTCTTCTTTCTTCGTTGCAGAACGAATCAAATTTGCCGGATAGATTCGCCCTGTCTATTCGATTCGTATGCCTGATGATCGTGATTGAAACAGATATTACCCGTTAATAAATATTTATCATCACATCATGGGCGTAGCCAGAGGGAGGGAAGCAGAAAATAGTGGGTTTTATACTACTCTAGAAGAAAAAATTAGATTTTGCCCCACCCCCTACTCGAAGGAAAGCAATCGATAAGATGACCTGATGATGGTATATGATTGTTTGTAACAATTTGTTGGCTCGAACAGCATTCCTGTTAATTCGAATGTTCGAAAGATCATTAAGTAGTACTTCGAGAGGAAGAAAAGCTACAAGCTCGTTGAAGTTTTGTCGATAGGCCCCGTGTCGTTATGATTCATGGTGTTTGGCGCGGACCGATCGTTTGTTTGCGTGTTACATACACTTTCGATTCGTCCGCGTCTGTCGTCGTCGATTCCCATGCATTTCCCCTTCTTTCTTCGTCGTGATTTGCTTTTCTCCCCCGATCTATTTTTAATTCTGTAATTTGTTCGGAGGAACACATTTTCAAGCGTACCTGTGATTTTGCCCAAGTGTTCGAAGTAACCACGATGGCTGTAGCAACCATACGGGGAACGAAAATTGCTCGGGATTCGGAACTGTCGAGTCGAAATTTTTCTTTGTGGAGGCATAGTTGTTCGAGGGAATAGACGATCCAGATTTTTAGATTTACGCGAGCCTATAGGCTCCTATAGACGCGCCACGTTACAACTAAACTAACCGACTAGTGTTAGGGTCCAAGTCCATTCGTTATCAGAATTTTTCTACCATTCGGTGATCTTACATATCGTCACGGGTCAACGTACGCGACAATAGCACCACGATCGAGTCGCCCGCCGCAAGATAGAATTTGGATCCATCGTTTTAGGCAGAGCGAATTATAGAATTGGTTCTGTCGCGCGTAGAATAACCTGTAAACAGAATTGTACATACGTAGAATCCAGGTGTAGCAGCGGTGCGCGCGGCAAGTAGGGTAAATCGGTGAACGAAGAGGCAGAGGAGGAGAAGGAGGAGGATGCGTCGCGTCGTATCATGGATGCTGAAAAATGGCCGCTACGCTGCAAACGCGAATGGCTCGTTGCGACGAAAAGAATTCCTTTCTCTCTGGTTGCTCCGCCTTCCGCCTTTCTGGTTAAATTCGCTCGAGAAACCCGTCAGCAAGTGGCTATCGGACCGTGTGAATCAATGGAAAAGATTTCTATCGCGCGACTGTCTCGTGCACACAAGAGTTTCAATCCCTATCGTTGTGTCGATGTTTTCGCCGCTTCGATCGCAGAGAACGTATACGCGAACCGTAATAAACGCGACCGCCACCTTTCGTTACGTTACACGAATCAAAACATTCAAATCAATCACTCGTCGAATAGCTCGTCGACCGATTTCTTTTTCTCCTCCACGCGTAAAGTGTGTGCGGATGATACATAACCGTTTCTCAGAGGTTTTTACGTTACGTAATGTCGTTTAAGTTTTTCGCAATATATAGATTGCTTTTTTAAGATGAACACGAACACGTTTCCCTCGATCATAACGTCAAATGGTCGATCACAACGATTAGTTTCTTTTCGATTTTTCCGCTTGGGAATTAGACGAGCAAGGTTTCGCGCAGCTAGTCGTCGAGGTTAGTCGAAGGATTAGCGGTTGCGTACCGTCGCGTCGTTTATGTTCCATATAGTACCCATTGTTTTCGAGTTTCTCGCTGTGTACGACTACTATACGGGCTTTGTAACGCGCCAACGAAGGGACTGGAAGCTATTACTTACTCGGTCGTCAAGCATGTTATTTTTTAAACGTCAAACTGGGCTTCGTTCGTAGGAGAATCGATTTACCGTTGTACCGTTCGTCCAATTCGCCGATTAGTCGTTCGTGTCGGTCGAATACGAAAATTGCTAATAGACATTTCAAAAATACAAACACGTGTCTTTCCAGATACACGATCTGGTCGAACATAGTCGAACAGCTAACGATGTGTGTGTCGTAAACTCGATCGCGATCGAGATACGGAGAGAGGAGGTGGAACGGTTGAAAGCGACCGAATTGAAGGCGATTCTCGCGACGACTGATTTCACGAAATGCCGTAATGATATATACATATAAATATACATACGTACATAGTGCATGCTAGTCGTGTCGATGCGATATCCAACGCACGACAAGCGGCGCCCGGGTTCTATCTCGTGTAGCGTGCAACGCGAAATGGTGGGTGGTGTTCTATCGGGCCGGTGTAGCAGCCACCGTGATACCAGTTATCTCGCGATACACCGGCGCTCGGCGAAGAAACTTTTAGCTCCTTCCTACCAACAGTCTTCCTTCGGTTTAGTCTAGAGCAGAATTGTAGCTTGGCATGTTTCGTGGTTCCGTGGCGTCGAAACGACGAAATCCCTCGATTCGCTGAGTTGTTCGGCGTTCGACATTCGGTGGTCGCGACTAACGTTGCCCTTCTTCGCCCGATTTGTTTGGGTCGCGCGACTTTCCATGGATTAGTTTCTTCGAAATTTCGCGGCATTTCCATGAGTGATCCCGCTCCCGAGTTCTGGCTACAGTTTCGCGACTTGGCTAATCGGTGTTTGTGTATTATTGTGTAGGTAAGTAACAGTATGTGCATGTAGAGTTTAGCCGAAATGATAGAATCGTATCGTTACCATACGTTGGTTCAATCGTCGACGATCGAAAGAGTGGCCTCGCTTTACTCGTGGGATCGATTCATCGATTCGTATGGTTTCGTCGATACGGAAAGGGATCGCGGTGTATGCTAGTTGAGAGTCACTGACGGTGGAACTGTGCAACTACTCCAGATAAGGTATCGGCTGGCGGCCGGTCCGCGATAACATTTCGCAGCATGACCGAACGCAAACGCAACGCAACGCACCGCATCGTTCTGCTTCGCCTTGTTTGTCCGTCCTCGTCCACGCTAATCCCCCTTTGCCCCTTCGTAGCCGAATCACAATGTTTTTCCTGGAACTTTATTTGCGGGCTCTGCGTTCGTTTGTACTGGCAGTGTCCATTATTCAGTTGGAACGTTTCTGGGAATCTTTTCTCAACTGTTCTAGCCGCTCTGTTAATAAGCCCGCTAGTTCCAGTTACGATCGCTAACTAAACACGCGTACGCGCCGAGATAAGCTACAGACAAATGTCAACGGGGCAGTCGAGAGCGAAAGAGAGACAGCGAGAAGGGAGAAAGAGGAGACATCTTTTGGGAACGAAAATCAACGAGGAATCCTGCGCGAGTAACGTGACCGACAGAAGCGATGAAAGCGATAGAAACGCCCACGTATACTAAGCACCAGAAGCGTAGCGTAACTCGCCGTGATACGGTAATCTTTCGCGGACAGAGATTAGCCAAGGACGCGCAGATAAACTACGGCATTGTTAACATTCCTTACTTTCTTGCACCTCTCGATTCAATTTCGAGCAGACTATGTCGGTTATAGCTCAGATCACTGTGACGTTTTCGCTATTTTTCCCAAAGTAGGTACCCTCGCGAGCAAACTCGGCTTTCGCTAGGGGAAATAGTGACATAATAGAAGGGACTCCTACCACTTGGTAAATTTATTTCAGGTACTGAAACAAATATTAAATCGAATTTAGCAGAAATTTCAGTAATTTCCAATACGAAGTGGTAGGAGCATGGTAGGAGGCCATTTCCCTACGCCACACACGATTTTCCCTAGCGGAAGCCAAGTTGCACGTCAATGTACGTATGTACGAGTACATACCTGTAACTACATATCTAGATACCCGTTGCTCAGCTGACACAATGTTTCGACAATTTTGCGTACACGGTTCGTGAGCCAAGGTGAACCTTTTCGGGGCGGGAGGACTGGTAAGGTTAGGTTTTCTTCTTTAATACGGTTCAGGAAGAGGTTCTGCCACCTGCGGCTACCTATACGGAGGTGCTTGCATCGAGTCCTTTACAAACGCAGTTTTCTTTCTTTTTTTTTGTCGCCTTGCCAAGGCAGCTGAACAATCCGCGGGCAGCAATAAGCGGTCGTGTATGTTGGTAACGTTGTAACGTTCGTAGTTGAAACACGGAATTGTCGGGGCCGGGGCCGGGCCGGGGTCGGTGATAAGAAAAAAAAAAGCCAGTTATTTTCCCATGCGCGTTTGAGAACGGAAACTAAGTTGAGGCCAAAGTCGGGACGCGTCGCGTCGGTGGTGTATTCATACGGTTTGCCTGTACACGCTCGTGTGCTCTGATGCGGGCGTTATCGGCCGAAGAAACAGAGCTTTTCGACGACGAGCCAGACAAGTACTTCCGACTCGTCCGAGCGAAACCTATATTGTTCGTTGGTGGCGTTCTCCCGGGGGAAGGGAAGAGCACAGGACGTTGCGAGTCCCATAGGAACGAAAACCGCCCTGAAAACGCCCCCGACAAGCGCGCACGGTTAAATGCATGCTTATCTCTGGCTGCGCGCACCAGACGTGGCGGACGCAGACGCAGAGGGGCAGAGACACAGCAGAGTCGCATACGATGTACGACTGTTTTGTTCTGTTCCCTCCCGCTCGTTCGCGTGACAAACGTGGTCCTCGTGTCCATACTGTCGAAATATGGATGTATCGACCGAAAGGTATCCACATGCACGATTTTTCCGCCCTCTTTTTCCATTTCGTATATTATATTCGTAGGATTTATATTTTGGCTCAATTTCAGTCCGTGCAAGGTGATGGATCCCCATGAACAAGGTGTCGTTCCTTGGAGAATCAATGCAGAAGTGAATCATTTAATTATTAAACACAAACCAACCTAACCTAACTTATATCATCTTGCACAGAATGAAATCTAACCGTAAGTTTAAACATTTGGGAAACGATTCTTGTACGACTTTTAAGACATTACCATAGCGTTTTTAAAAACTCTTTAAACGTTCCCAAAAGAGAATGTTACTTTTACACATTCGGAAAATGTTCTCAGCACGTTGACACAGGACGTTCCACTTTGTAAATAGGACATTCCTACAAAATTTAAAGATCTTAACTTTTCAGGACATCTTCCGAATGTACAGAATGTCTGGAACGTACGTTCGTCAGGCGTACATATGACGTTAGTATTGTGCTATTTGGGGTGTAACCGTTTGATAGTTCCGCAAGTACGGTGAACGTTTATCGTTGGGTCTCAATCTTGTGCAAATGGTTATTCCATCGAATTCCGACTAGTCGCGCCAGCTCCATGCGATTCGCGAACATCCCTCTTCTCGTATCGCAGTGTCAAAGTTCCGCGAGCTAATGCCATCTGTGACTCGCAGGTTGAACGACTCGTACGGATTGATTGAAATCGCAAACGCGTGTTGCTGCTCGAATTTCGTTCCACGATTTATTCAAGGTTCTCTTACCGAATTTATCGCCAAAGAAATATCTATTCGAATTGAAAATATTATCAAGTTGCATTATTCCTCATCGATTTATATACACACGTAGGTATTACACCGACTACGTTTATTGCGAAACGCGCGTTTCCAACGGACACTGTTAGCGGGGATTTCTGTGGTTTTCAGGACAACGAGGAACGGTAGATCGTAAATGGAAGGACGTAGGAGAGGACAAAGCACCCCCATAAACTAATAACGAGGCAAATATTTGTAAATGAGCTTTTCTGCGGGACCGGTTGGCCGTTCGGTGAATATAATTTTTCACGTGATACGACAGTTTTCACGTACATATTTATAGGTTAATGTGGTCTTGTTCGGTCATCTTGTTGCCTCTGTTGAGAAAACGACAGATCGACGACGAGAACGTAGACGATACGGAGATATAGGATGGAAAAGTAGAGCCATTGGGGGTCGAGCATAATACACTCGTACACATATATACATATATACGTACATCTATTGGTTAATCCCGTTGGAATTCCCAACGGCGACGGTCGACGATTTGCGTTCCCTGTTTCGAGTGGTTTTAGTCGGCGGACGGGGGGTATGCTTGTCTATCGAATTGGAAAAATTTATCTACGAAAAGGTAAAACGAACTTAAGCGGACGCGTAACAAACATGGAAAACGACAAATCGTTCGATCGGCGAGACATTTACGTTCGAAAACAAGGAAAGGGTAGCTGCAACTGTTCTCGGTCCTTTAAACATCTACGTTTAACAAACGTAGATTTTCTTATCGCTTCAGGACAGGAGTCCGGCAATGAAACCGGATGTCCGCCTGCGCAGGATGTGACGTCAGAACTGCTGTTCGCCGGCAGGCCAGAGAGTACCGTAAACCTGCCCGCCCGTTTGCTTGCTAGCTTGCTTGCTTGCCAGCCTTGTCTGCCTGCCTGATCGGCCGACCGGCTTGCCTGCATCGCAAACAATTTCCATTTTCTCCCTGCTCCCCCAAATCCCACCCCCGCCTTCTTTTTTTTTCTTTTCATGCCCTCTGTTTAGAGGATCTTCATTCTCGTGCAACAAATATACGCTTTTCTATTCAAAGTATCTAAATATGTATATTACGTGAAGTTATTGAGGAAAAAAAATTGCGAATTCGATGGCATCGTGGATGACAAAGTGGGCAACGCGTCCGAGCGAAATTGTGTCGGAAGAACAAAGACGGATGAGGTGTCCTCTTAGTAACTTTCCGCATTAATCTTTCTGCCCCGAGTCGTAAACACGGAGTCCCGTTTGTAGAAAAACAAAAGGGTGATTACTCGGTACGGAACGAATTCTCTTGCCTGGTTGCTCCTATTTCTCGGTTTTCCAACCGAGGAAAACTGTGAAAAGGGCTTATTTGTTTTGTTTAGCGGGTATATGTCTGCTCGCAACCAGTTCAGCCCGTCGACAAAGGCGACACGAAAGGGGACATTCTTCTCGGTAAAAACGATCTAAGCCGTCAACGAGAGCAAACATTTTGCGTTAGGTTCTTTTTATTCGTATTTGGAGATACCGCGCTCATATTCGATGCGGCTGATAGTACGGGATTTCGCAACGTAGCTCGGTTCGGTGAACCGTCGTTTTTAATAGTGACCAGCGTATCAAAAATAAGAAGGAAAAAAAACAGAAACAAACAAAAAACGAGAAATTACAGCGAAACTAACCTAAGAGAGAAACTTGTATCGGTCTAAACTAATTAATCGTTTTTCATCTGCAGCTGCGACTCTAGGGGCTAGAAAATTAACTCGAAAATCCTCCGGACTTAATACCCCATTACGCCCTCGATGTGAATATAGTGGGGCACCGCTGACGACCTCCGACCTCTTGACGACTGATTTATTGCCGTGCCCCTCTCCCCCTTTTCCTCCTCTTCACGCCGCTCTCTTTCTCCCTCACAGTTTTTTTTCTCCTTCGCAAACCCCCGCCGACCGATTCTTGTGGCCGAGCGAACAGAGTTACGGCCAAGTTACCGAACATTGGTACGTCCGATCCGGTTCGATTTCGATAATATTCTACGCTCACGTCCTATCGAAATGCTTTCAATCTTTATTGAAGTCTATAATTATTAACACAAACAACATTGTTTTGTGTTGAAAATGAATTACAATATCAAATGTTGATTGGTCGATACTGACTCCATTAGATAGGTGTACTTTTTTTCGATACTAACTGCAACCGTACATATCGATACCAAAAGTACTCGGTATCGAAACAAAAGTATCGACTAATGTACTCGTGTATTTACTTCTATCGATTCATCTCTACATATTATACATCTCTATGTACTGCTGTTTACATGGAAATACATTTTCCGAAGCGATCACTCCGAATAGTCGTTCTGTTGGCGCCTTTCTTCGTTTACGATTGCACTGCCTATAAATCGCGAGCGACGTGCTGTCGTAAAAAAACGTTTTAATAGTTTTCAAACGTCGATTCTCGGGGTGGCGCTTAACCGTGTTTGGAACACGAGAAGGAAAGGCCCTTTGGATGATCGTGTACTGTCCAAGGATGAGAGGATAAACGAGGGACGCGTCGAGAACGAAGGAGAAGAAAAAAAAAATGTGTCCCCATGGCACGATTAGTTCCCTTCTCGTGTTACGCCACGCAGTCTGCGTTTCGTTGTTTCGCGGCTCGTGACGGCTGACATTCTTCACGAGTGCCGCATAAACGTACCTGTTTGCCCGTCGACCAACCTAACTACCCTACCATACTACATAGAAACGATCCCGACCGAAACGTGCGGTGTGTCTGTCGTCGTCGTCGACGTCGTTGGGTTCTCTTCGATCGGGTTTCCAAAGTCTCTGCTCGTCTCTTCGTCTACTACGTATACACTTCCTTATGTAAGGGAACCTGTTGTACCATGGTCATACATTCAGTTTGTAATGTTCGTGGATTTTTTTTGGATAATTGGTAAACAAGTGCTCTTTTCGACTAAATTTTTGTAAGTAAGTCCGATTGTTCACCTTGTCCGAGGTACATAGATGGTGTTGTACCATAGACATAATTACCGTTTTTTTAAACATTTATAGTTCTAATGAAATATATTGGAATCATTCTACAAAAATTAAGTTATGTGTTTTGTTAATCGGTAAAATATATACGGTCTATAAAGTGTGTAAATTATTTAGGATTAAGAAAAAATAATAAAAAATGTACCCAAGGTACAATAGGTTCCCCTATGTATGTACATACATATACATACTACATATACTAGTACGATATACGGGCGTTTGTTTCACGGTTAACTGCTGCGCGAAATGATGGTTGCTAGAGGGAAACAAGACTGGGCATTCGTTATACGGCGGCGTCACAGCGTTAAACGCAACGTTTTTTAGCCAGTTTCCTTATTCGTGGAGGTAAGTATACAAATGCACAGCGGGGAAAGTTGACCATCGCGAGCGCCTTTATACTTTCGATACTGTTCGATAACACGTTTTTCCTGTTCGCGAATCTGTACCTATGACCTATACCACAGTTCCCCAATCTTAGTGAAAGTGTACACAGTTTGGCTTCGGAAGAAAATATGAACTTAATAACATTTTCAGACTATTATATTAAAAACTAGACAACTTAGAACGAAATAATTTTTATCATCGGAAAGACTGAGATATTTGATCATCATTTTAAAAAAAAACTGGACTTGATACGTTCTGGTTCTGAGGTCCAGATATACATATGTATGTAATGTATCTAAAAACGAAAGGTAGAGGTAAGAAGCAAGAGTGACGACTCGTCGCAGGTTTGGTAAAGGGTCGCTTCGATATAATTGACAGTTCCGTAGATTCATGGGCCATTTTTCTTGTTCCGAGACGCGACTCCAGCCCGGTCGGAGGGTTAATGGAGCTAAACGAATCCGGGACTGGGGATGAACGATACACGACCGTTGGTAAAAAAAAAGAAAAAACGACCGAAATTTGACACGTATTCTCGTGGTTACCCGAAAATAGTGAAATGGATTCGAGTGGGACTTGGTTGAGACTCGGCTGGTTGTCCGCGACAACTCGACGAGCTACGGGAATAACCTTTGGAAAAGCAAAGACTTGGGGCCGCAACAGGGAAATGGCAAATACATACATATATACCTAGTTCTCGTCGCCGCGGCGCGCACGTCACACCGGTTCGTTTCCGGTATGGTATGGTTTATGGCTCGTGGCATACCGTTCCCTTCACCTTTCGTTCACAGCCCTCCCACCTTCCCCTATACTCCCTGTGCTCGAACGAACGGCATTGTTTCCTCCTTCGAGGCTTCGTCGCTAATGATCCAACCGCGGTCCGTGTTTTTTTTTCTTCTTTCTTTCAGTTCCCCTCTGCAAGCATGCCACTATAATATTTGCTTTCTTTCCCTCCTTCGTCCGGATATTCGTTCCGCCGCGGGTCGCACGTACCGAGATGAAGAATTTACTCTGTATTCCTTTTCGAGGTTAGTAGTGATTCGGTTCCCTTGCGTCCTGTATCCACTAAACTGGACGTGTAGCGATGCGTGGTAACGAACGAGCGATCGCGAATTCGTTTCAAGTCGTTGGTGACGGCGTTTAACAATCCAGGAGCAATTCGGTGGAACTCCAGGGCCACTAGAAATTCACAGTTTTCAGATTCGAACAACGTCAAAGATAAAGGGGAAGAGAGTGGTCGAGATAAATGGGGGTTACCGACCCCTCCTCCCCCTCTGCCGTTCCCCGTCAACGTCCATCATCCCATCCACCCCGCCGCGTCTCTTCACGATCTTGTTTCTTTGACGCGCTCTCTTCGATGAGATATATCTCGTCACGATGCTCCCGACGCGATCACGCGAACGGATTCTTATTTTTCGATTCGAAATCCGTTTAATCGAGCATCCGTTGACATATATATTGGAACGAGATCGTTTCGAGATCGAACGAGTTCCTTAGGACAAGTTAATCCTTCGCTGACCGTTTAACGAGAGGCGAATGGTTCGATTTCGGGGAAAGAAGCGGGGGAGATGAACCCTTTTTACAACCCATTAAGGTCCGAGACGAAGAATGATTTACGGGTCGGAACGATCTCGAGCAATATCTTGGATGACGTAAGAATATATACTTCTTAGAATATATGTTTCGTGTCGAACTTCGTGCACAAAAATATGAAGATGATGTCAAACAGCGTGGGGAAAGCGAGCTTACATATATTGAAATATGTACTGACAATGCGGTTTATAGTAATGCCGAGAGATGATGACACAGTCGGCGTGCCTAGGTATCGTACGACCAATCAGAACGTATTGCGACGCTAGCCAGAATTTCCCTCCAGCGTGGTGAATAAATGATGGAATTTTCTTGTATTATATTCAGTATTATTATATATCACGTTAGCTTTTAGTTAGATACCTAAAGACGGCCAGTCTTGAGTTCGATTGGGTACATACAAGAATCGAAAATCCATAGGTATAATTTGAAAATTGTTAGTAATTATTTTATAATAATTTTGTGATTAATATAAATATTTTACTTAAATTGTATACGATAGCGAGGGGCAACGCGTGGAAATTAATACTAACCGTGCCGAGACTTTTATACAGACTCCTCTCGATTATCGTCTGGCTTGACCTACGCGATTATTGTCCAGGCGTTATCCCCACCACTGGCGGAGGGGGGGGGGCACGGAATCTGTCAAGAGCATACTTTGTTGCCAAGGCTCGGGCTTCGGGTAAAAAATGAATTTACGAGGGTCTAAACGTATTTCTTCCTATAAGATTATTGTCCCAGCGCGGACCCGAGTTCGGGACAATAATCGAGAGGAATCTGTATGTCTATTTGTACCTACTGTATTTAAAACCGTTAGTGTTAAAAATGCTACTTTCGCGTCGTACGAATTAGTTCGTTAATACAGAAATAGAAGTTGTTCGATCGCGACCTCGCGGAAAAGACTGTCGCGTTTTATGGTCGCGTGCCGCAAACGGCAGCGGCGGCTCGTATCGCATTATCCATGTTATCATCTTCTATCGGGCGGAGGTATCACCGCCACGTGCTTCGCACATCTTCTGTTATAACTGAGAGGGAAAGCAACGGACGTCTCCCGTTTCTAATTCTGATTTCATTCGAGTTTATCACTTTAGGACCAATACAGATCCAACCGAGTGTCGCAAGATTTTCTTGTTTTTCGAAGAGCACACCTTGTCGAGTGTCACCTTATCGGAAACGATGAAATCTCCCTGTTCCCGACTTCTATGCCTAAGGAAGCAAGCTCGGATAAAAGGAACGACTGTGTTTACCGCAATTTTGATTTTTCGGGCTGACATTGTAATGGATACTTCTCACTGCTCGATTCCGTCAATTTCCTCGAGATCAATTCGACGAATGCTCGTGATCTAGAGTAACTGGAACGACGAAGGAAACGACAGAAGTAAAGAAAAGGAATAAAAAATTGCGTGTGCTCTTGATGTAGGTGAGGGGGATGGTGGAAGGGCGGGGGGTGAATGGAAGGAAAGGAAGGGGCGAAGGGGAAATATAGAAGGAGGATCAAAGAGGTCGAGATAAAGAAGCTATTCAATCTTTGAAAATCTCGTCGTAAACCGCATCGATATGCGTCGTCTGGTCGCTCGCGTTGCGGATAACAGAGAGTGTTTTTATGGGGCCAAGGAGATAAGGGGCCGACCTTTGCCCCTGATGTACAAAACGTCTTCCGCTCGGTCAGCGAGTCGGAATCTGCCGCTACCGTTCCTATAAAGCACATTACCCTCTTTCCGTCGGTTGCTGGTATCGTATGAAACAGAAACGATACCAGACAATTTCATACAGTTTGTAATCGTTTAACTTTCACGTTGAAATTCAGTCGTTTTTAGAGGGACGAAGAGATAGAAAAAAATAATGGTGGGGTAGAGGAGTAGAAAGAAGATGGTTTCGGGATGTACAGTAAATCCTCGATGATTGTTCGAAGACTCCTTGGCACTGTAGGGGAACCTATTGTACCTTAAGACCTCTCGTTGTCAGTGTCGAGGAGCCTTCGAGCACTCATCGAGGATTTACTGTACATATTCGGAATTGGACCGTGATAGAAAAGTTTCCAATGCTCGTGATCTCTCGGTGGACTTCCATTCGCGACTTTCGAAAGACGACGCTGAAGGGATTCTTCGGCGTGGCATCGGTCCGCGTATTTTCTCGGCCCCAGTGATTAATCGGGGTCGCGGCACTACGCCTCTGCGTCTCCGCGTGTCTCATCACCGATTCGTTTCAATCGCGCAACAATGGAGCGTTGCATTCGATAAGCCGACACGATCGACCGCCGTACCGTTTCGTTTATGGTCGAGTTACGCACACGTACGCGCGGGGCCCGTCTCGCGACGGCAAATTCACACGCGCGTTCGGTGTTTATTATGCTCGTCGGTTCTCGAGGAGGGAACGGTATGATTCGTACTTGGACCTTTTGCGAAAAATATGTTTTTTAATAGAATTCGCCCCGAAACGAACTGACAGATAATCCGACGAGCCTGACCTTTCCAATTCGATTAGGTAACGTCAATAAGGTCGGTTGAATGTTAAACGGTTGATACATACTCTTGGTCTTTGGGGGAAGATATCGTTCGACTGGTTAACCGATGCGAACGAGCAAACGGCGACGGATACTGTACGAATTGAAATTTTACGCGAAGCATTTCGATATCTCTGGACCAATCGAACGGCTGTTGAAACGATTCGAGAAGCTGCTGCTTCTTCCGTTCACCTATGCCGATACCTTTCGATTGTGTCGTATCGTCGTGTTGTTTGCCTTCACCGCCCCTACGATTGGCCACCTCCGCTTTCGCTTTCGGTTTCAGTTTCACTTTAGTGGCTCGGCCTACGGTTCTGTCTTTCGCGGTGATTCTTGACGAACCGTTTGTCATCGAAAAACTACTCTTCCTCGGTCCACGAGTAGGTACACTGACGAGCAAACTCGGTTTCCTCTAGGGGAAAAAGCAATGTAAGGGTAAGGGTCTCCTACCGTTTCATAAATTTATTTCAAATATTGAAACAAATGTTAAAACGAATGCTAATTTCACATAAATTTCAATAACTCAGTGAACCAAGTGGTAGGAGGTATTTCCTTTACATCACTTTTTCCCCTAGCGAAAGCAGAGTTTGCTCAGGAGGGTACACGATGGTACACGATCGTATCTGCAAGCGACACAAATCGATGCAATCGGATAGAAAAGTGAAAAGACTCGAATCGAACAGAACCGAACGTAATCGAAACGTGCACCTATATTTAGTCGTCGTGGTTCGTCGTGGCCTATTGTCGGTGCTGCTCTGCCATCGGTTGACCCTCGGTTATTAAAAATAAGATTTTTTTATCATCCGGCAGGAACAGTCTCGCGAAACGTTTCTTCTCCTTTCTCTCTCTATCTTTCACTTATCCTTGATCTTTGTCTTTGGGTTTGCCACTCGGGCGTAAAGCGTTTTCTCCGTTCAATGTAAGATCTGGACATACATATACGTAAATATATGTATGTGTATCTATGTATATAAATGTACACACATATGTGTACGTACATTACGCGTACGACACGACACGACGGAACGCGACGGAACTCGAAGGCGTACAGACACGCACGATCGTGACGAGTAACCAAGCAAAATCCGCGAACGCGCGCGACTGCTAACGAGTAACAGATAACGACGGTCAGTTATTTTTGTAACGTACCGGCTAGCAACAGTTTGTTCGTATCATCGACGTTGGTCGTCTAAAGAGAATATCGATGCATAGAACGAATCGATGCTACCGTATCGTTTGAGAATTCATTTCGGAGCATTATAATGTTACGATTGGTATACCTATAGCCGTTTATAAACGACTATCGGTAAAATTAAAGACGTTTCTCCACTTTGACAAGATTATTATTCCGTGTCACTCTCGAACCCACAGCTACCCACGCTGTACATTTAATAAATCGAGCAGAATATGTAAACCCAATTAATATTTCGCGATGTCTACAGTATCGATCGAAGACGCAGACGGTACCAAAGAGTATGCTGGCAGGAGAGGAACCAATGTCGTCGTCGCAGAGACGGTCGAAGGGAGGAAGGATAAAGAAACGGATACAGCGATATTATCGACGAACACGAGGAATTCCGTCGAGGTTGTTCGTCAGGAGCGGGTGTTGGAACAGCAACAACGTCGCCAGTTGTCCTCGTACAAAAAGCATGGAACCGGAGAAGGCGGGGACGACGTGGGCGTGCTGGGGGCGGGACAGCTGGATATTGAAAATGGCGCGATCATAGAGGCGAGTAGCGCAGAAGCGGTAGCTGTCACGGGTTCGTCTGCCGATTGTAAAAACGATGCTAGCGTCGTATACGATTTACATTCGGCCACCTATGAACCGTTCGACGATCCCAACCCTCGAGAAAGGTGAGAATATTAATTTTATACCGTAACATATATTTATATACAATTTTACGTTTCGAGTTGTGTTCGACGAACCTGCCGGGTTCGTTCAGTTCCGACTATAGATGTTCGGCCTTGATTCCCCCGGATAATCCGAATCCTCAACTGAGTTTGATTCGTTCGTGTCCGCAAACGGTCCTAGGAAGAATCGATGCCGAGCTAACACGTGAACAAAATTGTATCGTGAAAACGGTACGGGGGTAGGCTCGAAGCAGCCCGGTTCATAAAATCGAATTTTAACGAATTTATCGCATCGGTCGCGAAGGGGTTATCTCCAACAGGATTTGAATCGCGATGAAGGAGGCGGCGACCTCGCGAGGGACGAGCAACACCGGGAACAGCAACGGAAGCAACGCTCGTGGCAGCAACCGATCGTTCACCCCCACCACCAACGACTCGACCAACAACAGGAGCGGCAGCACCATCGCCACCGTCGTCGCCACCACCTCCACCACCTCCACCACTACCACTACCGCGAGCAGCACCAGTCGTTGCTGTTGCCGCAGCCGCAATTCGCCGCCGAGTCGGGGGCGAGAGAAACTACTTCGGGTCACGAGGGAGGGGATAACCGGCGAGGCAACGAAGGCTCCGCGTTGTCGGAGGGAAATCGACTCGGCAGTCACGCGCCACGCTCGACGATGAATCGTTACGGTACGGAAACGCTCTCGCCGACCGCGACCGATCACCACCACCCCCACCATCACCACAACCATCACCATCAACGTCACCACCATCAGCAGCACCATCATTTGCAGCAGCAGACAGACACGTCTCAGCATACCGCGCTCTCTGCCGCCAGTCATCGTCGTTTAGAGGAGCAAGAGTCCCAGTCGCAATCGCAAACAGTGCCGGAACAACACCAAGAAATAGATCACGAGGACGGTTTAGCGGAAAGGGTCAGCGGAATCACGGCGGCCATGAGAGGGGCTAGGGGTGATTTTAATCTCGGTGTATTGTTCCCGAATCTGAACACATCGAACTCCAGCAATACCGCCAACGAAATCGGAGCAACCGATCATCATCATAATCACCATCACCATTCGCCTCCTCCCCATCATCATCAACACCAACACCAAGACCAACACCATCAGCATCACTTGGAGGAAGTTTTACCGGACGACGCGTATCTTCAGCATCAGATACGAGGAGGTGGTGCAGGAGGTGGGGTTGCCGGCGGTGGCGGCGGAAGTAGCGGGAACGGTGGCAGCGGCAGTAGTGGAGGAGATGGTAACGGTGGAGGCGGCGGAGGAGGAGGAGGATCGCCGACTTTGCGTACGGTTAGCTCGCCAAGTTCCAGTGGTAGTCCGCACGACGATCAAGGACTCTCGTCGCCGCATCATCAAGGACTCTCGTCGCCCCATCATCAAGGACAATTGGATTGTGCATATAGAATATATAGATCGAACTCTCAAGGCAGCCAATCTTACGCTCATTTGACAGCCATGCAACCGCCTTCCTCCGTGCAGGCCAATCACGGTTTAGCCCAGGATGCCGATCGAGTATCCGATCAGCTTTACATGGAGTCGATTTACGCTCACCACACGGCCGGGACGCCTCACCATCATCATCAGGAACACGAGCAGGGACCGCCGACACCCCATTCGCCCACCGGCCCACTACCCAGGTTAGTGTTTACTTTTAATTTTTTGTTAATTTGTTTATATGCATATAAATGGGCACAGTCCTTTTGTACAACGGGTTATATATGTACGATGGATCTAGTGTTCCATCAGATCGAATTGTATCGTCGAAGCGAATGTTTCCGAGATCCAGTGCTTCGCGGTTTTGCTCGTTATCGAGGGAAATTGTATGCGCGTGCACGTAAGGTATACAATAGTTTTATACCTATATCTATATACCTGTACCTGTACTTAGACCGTATTAAGACGCGACGTTCGACGAGGCCGGCCGACTAACCACCGACGAAACTTCCACACCGAAGCACACACCACGCGCAGGCAATCGAGACCCGTCGCGAGAACGGTTCGCCATTCGCAAAAATATTTACGCGCCGGCTTAAGAGGATGCTTTGTTTTCCCCCCAGGGTTGTATACGTAGGCGACAGAAAACCGAAAATAAAACTAAACCGACGATGGAAAACAGTGTGACGCCTCCTTGGCCCTATGCTAACAGTTTTCTGCAAAATGAACATCTTTTTCTGTTTACCGATACGTCCCAGGCACGAGTCGCGCGCCCTTTGGATTCTCGGTTCCTCTGTCCCCTCTGGTGTTTCTTTAACGTTTTCTTTTGGTTTTTTTTTTCTTTATTTATAGCGTTTGTTACGCATCGTGGTGCAATTGAGATTCCTTGAACGCGCGCGAGTTCCTTATCGTACCGTCGACGTTGCTGTTGTTCGCGGCGGCTTAGAAAGAAAAAAGAAAGAAAACTAAACATTTTCGTTTCGATCGGTGGTCGAGAATCGATTCGCGTTCGAGCAGTATCGTTAGCGCAAGACCGCGATAAGAGTTTATTGACCGATAGAGACGTTTTCCTCGATCGCGCGGTGCCATCCTGCTAACTTTGGTCGAACGGTGGCGTTATCGAATCGACGACGATCTTCGTTTACGTTCGTTGCGTGGTTTTTCTGTTAGATCGCCAATGAAATCATTCCGAGTAACAGTGGATGCCTACGACGGGAATCGGTTTTGATACGAACACCGACATTACAGTTTCTTTTTCTTCTTCTTCTTCGGTTCGCAGAATGAAACTGATCGATCGATGCCACGTGTTGCGATCGCTCGGCAGTCCTAGATTTCCTCATGCGGTGCGCGCGTGCACGGGCCACGACCTTCGAATTTAGATATTCAAAGTTCGGGTGCAGAGGACGATCCACTTTCGGTTTTTCTTTTTCTTTTTTTTTTTTTTTTTTCGTGGGGCGTATCTCGAGGAGATTAGCTTCGGTGAGACGATTCGATGACGCAAAGCAGAGTCTTTCATCGACATCGACGCCGCCATCGCCGCGTAATACATATTCTATGCGTAATATCTTGAAATTATTCTTGCATTTACTCGGTTAACCCCTTGCATTACGATTTTTTTGACGGCTGTACTTTTAAGCATTACTTTATCGTTAATAATTTCCTAGATACAAAAGGAATTTTATTCTTAGGGCAAGTGTATTATTTACTCTAAATCATAAATATTAATACCACTTATACAGAATTTCACTTCGACTAAAAGAAAATGAATGGTATACATGTTTATTAAATGCAGATTGAAATCGTCATCACGTGTCTGACTCGATGTTATAAGGCAAGGGGTTAACTTTCCCCTGCGGCTGTTTATATATTCTTTAGACGCGAACGTACAGTTTTCGCTTTTGTCGCTCCGTATTTTTCCGTTCGAACGCATTTCCGATGATTTCCGATCCATTCGAGGGGCGAGTGGAGGGGAGGGGGAAGCATAATCGTTTCACGTTTTGTTTGTCGAGAACGAAACCGGAGAGAGCGTAAACCGTAATCGCTGCTCTTTAACGCGAACTTTGTCGTGAATCATCCGAGGGTTTACAGTCCGGTAGAGACGTACCCGTCCTGTTCCGAGAAAGCATTTGGTATCGCGTGACGTCACAGAGTCAGCTTGAAACGGTTTCCAATGCGACGCGACGCAACGTGAAGCAGTGCCCTTTTCTTGTTGTCCCAAATAGTCATCGTGCTCTTGTCCGTTTGAAGTCTGTCCGATTTAGAATTGCTTTTTAACAGTAGATTTACGAACATTTCTTATACAGGGTGGTTCCAGTAAGAATTGGCACTAGAATATCTACGTTGTTCGTGGAGATATGAAGAAGCTTTACCTTCATTTTTTTAAATGAAATGATAGTTCTTTTAAAAAAATGCGAAGCAAGATACGCGAAGCTGTTCCGCGAATTCATGTAGACGCTACGCTTCGAATGCGTTATGAAAAGATGATGTGGGTATGTATGCACTGACGTGCAAACTCGACTTCCGCTAGGGGAAAAAGTGGCGTACGGAAAGGCACTCCCACCACTTGGTTTCGAAAGATTCTGAAATTTATGCAAAATTAACATTCATTTTAGCATTTATTTCAGGATTTCAAATAAATTTACCAAGTGGTAGAGGGTTACGTTTTTTCCCAGCGGAAGCCAGTGGAACATACGTAAAATCGTAATCGCGATATTGGAATTACAATTCGAAGCATCATCGTGGCGAACACGTGTTAACCCCTGCGGTCGATTTATGTATATGGAATCACACTGGCGGAGATTTACGCAACGCATAAATATGATACATACCTACAGACATAATGTGTAGAAGAAAGTCGAAGGAAGGTGGGAGCAATGTGTCGTGACTGTCCCGTGAGGGGAGGGAGACGGACTAAGAAAAGAAAGAACGGAAGGGGGTCGGGATTCGCGGTAGGGGAAATCCTTACCCACGTTCGAGGTCCTACGACGATGTTTGCTCGGCCATTTCGTGCACACTGTCGGATTATATTCCGCCCAGTTCGCGTCTGTTCTCGCAGTGACCGTTGTCGGACGCGACGCGACCCGAGCCGACCCGATCTGACCCGATCGTCTTGTTCTTTCCTTTTTTTTTTTTATTTCGATCATCAGTTTTCATTTGTTTTTTTATTCGTGTTCGCGATCTTCGAAAACAAGTTGTCGAGACCGAGAGACAGAAAGCACGACCGGCAAACTGGAACGAATTACAAATCGATGCTCCTGATTGGACTATCGGAAGCGACAGCATGCAGTGAGTGTTTTCTATACGCGTTACCCTACCTTAACAGTGTTCGGTCGGAAGAAGGTGACACTAACCTAAGAAGCTTCGAAAAGATAACGGAGTTGAAATCATTACTTCCCCGAGAGGGACTCAAACTTTCAACTCGCACTTCGGTATCGATATTTAAGAAGTGTACGAAATATAGAACGTACGTTCTCTCATTTTCATCCGTAGGTTTCGTATATTTTTAACAAGAACGTATAATGTTCGCCAGTGCAATAGAATGCTCGTTGACTGCACATCAAGTGTGATGCACAGGACAATGAACGTGTTAATATTATTGGCCGTTGAATCATCGTTGATTCTCGACGACTACTCTTGTTTTAATCGTTTGATGGACAGCACGTTTGTTTTTTTTATTATCTCGAACGCGCGAGCAACGTTTCATCCTTGCCGCCGACGAATAATTATACGAACGAAAAGAACGTAAATGGAAAACCGATAACATTCGCGACAGTAGCGGAGCTCGTAAATAAACGGGACCAAGTGTCTGTAGGTTGTAGAGGTGCGCTTTGCAGTTTCAAGGTAAAATGACGCATGGTGCGCGCTACGTGGCCCAGAATTTCGTTTTCACTTTCACGTGAGAAAGAGAGAAAGATGTAAATCAAAAGGAGTAGAAAAGAAATTAATGGGATCGAATAAAAATCGATGAAACGGTCGAACAGGTTAGGTTACTTTGAGGTCGAACCTCGATGAATCTGTAGTCGACACGCACTCATCGCCAGTGGCGTTGCATCCTCGAATCTCGAGCCGTTTCTTCGTGTATCGTGAGAAGCGGCTTATCGACTTCGTTGGGATTCAGATAGCGGTCCGGTAGCGGGGGCTATAACCTCGCTACCACCGACATTCTGGATTGGATTTCGCAAAATCTGCATTCTTCGCGCAACAACCTACTCTTCAGCTTCTTCTTCTTCTTTTCTTCTTTTTTTTTTCTTCTCAATATCTTTCCCTTTCTTTTGTCTATTTACTCGCTTCGAGGGTGTTTGGTTGATGGTTTCCGGTCCTCATCATCGGAGAACTAAGAAGCGGGGCTAAGGGAAGAGTAGAAGCGCGGTGTCGCAACGGCGTAGCAGTAGTAGCAGGCTGGATTGAGATTACGAGTGAGAATGTCTCGGAAAGATTCTCGGAAGAAACACGAAACCCTTTGGTCATTCAGTTCAAGTTCTATGACGCGAGTACGAGAGCGTGTGCCGTTGCGTACCGTCTCGCGCGCATACCTACGTATGTACATCGACGAGCAAACTCTGCTTCCGCTAGGGGAAAAAGTGACATAAATTTTAATAACTCCAAGACCAAGTGGTAGGACATTTTCCTTTTACATTATTTCTGCTCCTAGAGAAAGCAAAGTTTGCTCGGGAGGGTTCCTACATTATAAACCGCAAACGGATCTCCGATGCGTATATCAATCAACGAAGCGATTTCGAGCATTTGCTCAGCATATTGTTAACCACGTTAGCTCACCGGATAACGATCTAACGATACTCCCCGATAGGAATTGAAACGGAGCGATCGCGTCTCCGGTGATCTAAATAATCGTGACTAGTGATGGGGGATACAGTATTGATATATCGAAATATCGATACTTTTAATTTGGAATATCGTTTCCTTTGAATTGAAATAACGATATTTTTGAATCGGAATATCGATACTTTTGAATCGAAATATCGATATTTTTGAATAGGAATATGGATATTTTTGAATCGGAATATCGATATTTTCTATCGATTCTTAATATGACGACGTATCGTTGTACCAATACTTGAACCATACTGTACATATCAGAATTTCGAAACAACTGCACAAAACTATTCTCATTCATTTGAGTGAATATACTACATTTTTTCAAGTTGAGGTGGCAATAATGGCAAATAACAATTGACGCCACACTACTGCAATCAACAATCTACACCATTTAGTAGCAATTTATTCAAGTTTTTTTTTAAGTACAGGTTACGGATAATGAGTTAAAGTTGACAGTATCAATAATCGATACTCCGCTTCCGATACTTTTGCCGTATCGATATTTTGTCCACCGATATATATCGATACAATTGACATGTATCGCCCATCACTAATCTCGATCGATAGATCGTTCAATTTCCACCATTCGTAAAAGTTTTTTACACTTCGAGAACGAGTGAAGAAGCGGTTCTCGCATGAGTACGCTCGAGTTGTGACAAACCCTCGCGTGTGCCATTGCCATGTCTCCAGACGCCGGGTGTTACGCGTAGATACCTACCGAGCATCGCAGGCGTTTAAGCGCGTGCCACGTTTCCTTGTACCGTTTCGTGTTCGGTAACGTTAATGGCCCGCGAGGAAAGCGGCGGTCTGCGCACCTGGGTAGAGAGGGGTTCGTCGACCATAGGGTCGTGAATCGCAGCTCTCTAAACTCCAAACTATCGAAGAAGATAACCACCGACCGTGTACGCTTTTTTTTACTCGAACGGTGATCCCAAATCGAGCGTGGCTTATCAGAGAAACCGAGTGGAGTGCGTTCCCTGTTGTTACCATTCCGCATGGAACGGCCGCGGCGACGCGTTCTCTCGTGTCCCTCGAATATTTTTGCTTTGCAGTTGGCCGCGAACGTCGAGCGCGACTCGCGAAGGTCGAATGTTGCGCGCGGTTTTGTTATCGATGTTTCGGTTACGGTAAATGTCGTTTCTCGCGCTGCATCGGTTCGAAGCCGTTCCCGGAAAATTCGTAAACCGTTGAACGATCACGTACCGGATCGGTCCGTACGTGTTCGCCGTGCCGCGAGAAGCGTCAAGGACGCGCGCAACCGATCGTTTTCCTTCGAGAGTCGTGCTCGTGATTTTATAACGTGTGCCCGTTGTGATAATAGCAAGCACGGCTACGATCGAGCAATCCATGGTCGCGTGCGTGGCACGCCGAGCGATATTCATGGCGGGGGATCACGATCGAGTGAGGACGGTTCGCGGCGCGTCGGGTCGGTTCAGTTCCGGCAGACCGAAGATTATGTATCGTCGGAATCGGAACACTGTGAGGGACCCGCGCTGACTATTGGCCTTGCGTAACGAACATCGTCGATCTGAATATAATATCCGACGGTAGTTCGGTCACGTTTCGATTTTTTTACATTACAAAGCGCTGCCGTCTCCAGATTGCGTTGCTTCGAGGATTCGTCGGGTTAGGTCTGGCGGTCGGACGGACGAGCGTTCGTACGGGTTTGCACCACCGATCTCAGGTATAGTGGTCGTCTGTGCTAATGGTAACGGTAGTGGTAATGGAGGCGGGTAATGGTAATGGAGTAGTTGTGTTCGCGGTAGTTGCTGGTCGGAAGGGGACATCGAAAAACGTCCTGTTTTGGCACGCGCCCGCATTTACGGGCCGATGAATCGGAGAACGGTTTTCGTTTCCGGTGCGGAATATTACCTAGACCTAGCCTAACCAGCGTGGTCGAAACCTGGGCTTTTTCGAGCGTATCGAATCGCGGTGTATCGATGGTTGTGGACGAGTCGTCGGAAAACTACGGCCCGCGAGCGGAGAATAAATTTTTTAAAATGACAAATTAAACACTCTTAGTGGCTAAAATATTTACTATTTGGCCCTTTACAAAAACAGTTTGCCGCCCTTGGTGTAAAGTCAGGTCGACGTATAGTCGCGTTTGCTACCGTGTTCTTGCGTTCGCGAAATCATGGGTGGTTTCATGGATTCGTGCATAAAATGGTTACGTTTTTTTTTTTTTCAGTCCGTTGTATCGTATGAGCGGTGTGGGTACAATGATGGCTGGCAGTGCCGCAGGAACCGGAGGCACTTACACACTTCCTTACATGGCCGGCAGCCCTACGGAACTGACCAGCTCGCCTCAGCAGCTTTGGAACGCGCAAGGTAAGAAAGTTTGCACTGGCCTTGAATTAACCGTTCGAGTGGGTCATTGGAGAAATTTTCTCGAAAAGTGTAGAGTTTCGTGTAGAGTCTATAAAAAGTAGGCGTTACCGTTCATCGGTGGGCGCTGAAACTGTTGAAACTTATCCGTACTCTATCGAACGTTGGTTCGGTTCGGTCTCTGGGAAGAATCGGTCGAAATAACCGATAGCATTCGAAACGACAGGGTTGTCCACGGGCATTTCCGGCATGTCGGAGGATTACACCGGCGGAGGCGGCGGTGGTAGTAGCAGCAGCAAGTCGTCCGGTACGGTGACTCATCAGACATTACCAGGTTTCTCGCAACCATTCTGCGGTAGACCGAGTTTTCGTGGATACAGCCCATCCTATCCAACGCAACAGAGCAGCGCAGGAGTCGGAGCATCGGTCGACCCATCGTCTTGGAGTTACCCATCGCCGTCGAACGACTCGTTGGCGACGCAATACGCGACGACCCCCAGAAGGCAAGCTGTTAATCCGACCACGGCACCGAGTCAGCATCAGCTCACAGCTACGGCGAGCCTCAGTGCCAGTGAGTATCGATACGATTTCATATTCTTTATTTTTTTTCTCTTTTTTTTTTTTTTCTTCAAGCACACCAACCGTAGCCAAAAAGGCGGGCGGTCGTGTGTGCGTCCGTTCGAAGTGTCTCGTCGTTTTCGCTCCGTTCCTTTCGATCCTGTAAGCTTCGTCTCTGTTCGACCGGCTCGGACAGAACGATACGTCTCGACTTACGGAGGAACCCCTCGGTCTCCCTCTCTCGAGGACGCGATAAATCGTAAACGATTCGAAGAAACGCGATCCCGGACGAAGACGCGTACACCGTGGGCGCTCGTGTTGCAACGGATCGTAAATAACGAGAAAAGGATTCGAGCAAGTTACCCTCCCCCCGCCTTCCAACCCGTAGCTCGCACGAAATTCCTCGGAACAACCGAAAACGTGTATCCATGGAGCTTGGAACGCATCTACAGTGATTCCCTCGATGAATGCGACATGAGCAACGGCGTTATTCTCACCACTGGGGGGATCACCCTCTGAAATCAATCGAAATAGTGTAAACAGAAGCCAAGAAAAGGTTTGGTTTTGGGTGCAAAAGAAAGTTACGTGGGGCTGAAAACCTTTCCGCTTCGCCATGAATGCTACGAAACGGACCCTGGGGTACGTGTCGCACTCATCGAGACATTACTGTATGTATACGAGTGTAGTATCGATGGAGAGGTTTATTTGCTCGTTCGTGAACCGCGGCAGTGTTCGTTCGCCCGCGAATTATCCGATCGCTCGGTATCGAATCGGGCTTTGATATAAGCCGGCCCTGACCTAGACAATGCGCGCGTCTAATCTAGTTTTGTCTACGCGCGATACACGCGGTGAGATAATAATGCCTTTGCGTTCGAACCGCTTCGTAGCTGACTACGGAACCGCGAATTTCAGATAATCTCGCCTCGTATCTCGGTGGTGACAGGACGAATCGTCGGATAATCGTGCTCGGAAGATTGGAAGCAGATCGAATCGAATCTAATAAAATCGAATCTAATTAATCAAATTGAATCGCTGCTGGTCAAGTCAGGGGTATCGGGTTACTCGGCACGATGGGTCGCAGGAGTATGTTGTATATATATACGGTCGCGTATCGTCGCGCCCGTTGACGTGCGTCATTCGGAGGATACGGAAAAGAAAGTGAAAAGCTTTGAAGTGGGGTGGCTCTTTTTGGAGAGCACCGAGTGTTCTGCGGTTTCCATATCCCGCCGCTTCATCCCCGAGAACCTAGAGAGGCCCAAGGGCAACAGGGAATGCGGCTTTTAACATACCGCGATCCTCGAGAGGTTGCTACGCTCGTCTCTGGCATCGCCGTCGTGTCACAGACTTCGACCGACGCGACGCCAGATTGCCTTTTAACGCGTGCGTGGCTTTGATTTTAGCTGTATCCACCGCTGCCAGACCACCCCCCGAGAGTGGGCCGCGTCGCAACGTGTCCCCTCTTTCGTTCCAGTCCTTTTTTCGTGTCCTCCGAAACTTTCAACCATCGCCTGGATCCGTTCGTAATGTTCTGTTTCAAGACATTGGCGCCGTAGTCAACTGTGTGTCTGACACATTTCGAGAATGGGAATCTTTATTTTCTGGTGGTCAGCAGTTCATTCGTTTTGTGGTTTTATTCTTCGAGTATTATTCCTGTTTGATGCATACCTTTCCATACACAAGTCTATCGTTGCTCTACTTTCGCACGATTCTTTTCTCCTTTGACCTTTCCATTTCCGTCCTCTCCCCCTAACTCGACGCCTTCTCTTATCATTCGTGTCTATCCTCCCTCATCGTACCTTCCTTTCTCTCCTTCGACGCCCGCCAGCGTACCGACATTCCTCATAACTCGACCCTTCACCTCCCCCCATTCCGTACACATTCACTCGTCCTCTCTCTCTCTCTCTCTCTCTCACTGTCCCGACTCTCGTATCTGACCCCTTCGTCTCTCTTCGACTCGGTTCGCTCCTCTTGCCTCCAGCGTGGTAATTCGACTCGCCTATTCTCATTCCTTCGTTGCTTCGTCATATTCTTCGTAGGTCTCGCTCGTCGTTGAATATTGGATTACAAGGGATCGAGCGTTTTTTCTTTTTTTTTTTTTTTTGGCCATACTCGGTTGCGTTTGCATTTTCGATCGATAGATCCCGGAGCTAACGTCTCCCTGTCGTTGCTCGGATGTCTTCGAAACTCTCGATTGTTTTCCTAACGAAGAAACAATGACCACGACGATGGAACAAGGGAATGTTGCGTCGGCATTTCGCCGTTTCGTGGATGGGTCAAGAATGGCGATCTGAATCCGAGAGGCGTGACTCGAACCATCCTCGACCGACGATCGTAACACCTTCTCGCTTTCCACTCGCGGTCCCCTTCTCCGTTTTCATCTCTCTGCCGCTCTCTTCTTCAATTAGACTTGTTTCTCTTGCACCGTCCGACGGGCAACGTTTGCAAAACCGTCGACGACTGCGTTGCTTACTTCTGGCACGTGATATCCGATTGCTTCCCAGTCCCGTTTCTGCCAGATCCGCGAACACGGGTACGCCGACCTTCTTCGTCCTCTCTTTCGCAGTCTGTTTCGCGTGCGATCGTTTTCTCGTTCAACTTGCCCCCGAAAGAAACAAACAAAAAAAAATTTTTTTTACAATTATTTCTCGAGAGTGTTTTCTACAGTCAGGAAACATTTTGCGTGACTTACTGCTCACATATTTGGTCAACTCATCGAGTGTAAATATGTAACAAAATGTTTTATTTTTCCAAGGGAAGTCACAAAAGTGTCACCCTCCGATTTTGATGAAACTTCGTATGTCTGTTAAACAGTCAAAAATAAGGGATACGTATTTTTTTTTATCGGTTGAGACGCGACTTTAAGGGGTGAATCCACCCCTCGAAGTTTCGATCCGAAATTTTTTTGTTATATACAAATTATATTTTGGACAATTTGTTAGCACCACATTATTCTACATAAAAAGCCGTAAACCTCGTCCATTAGAAATTTTCATGCATCTCCTTTGGTTTTCGAGATAGTACTTTCGGGTCGAAACTTCGAGGGGTGGTTTCACCCCTTAGAGTCGTGTCTCAGCCGATAAAAAATAATAAAGATTTACTGTTTCGACGATAGAGTACGCCATGAAAAGTGGTCAAAGCTCGCGTGTACGTCGTGCAGGCTGTTGTGTTATCGTCGAACTCCGGAAATTCCGATAACACCGTGTCCCTCTACACCCTACATCCTCTGTTGCGTTCGCCACGTTTCCTGTATCCTTCCTCTCTCGGGTATAACCGCGTTTTCCATTGAATCCACGTTCGTTTCGTCGTCGATGTTGTCGACACGATCATTGTCCAAGTCGAGACGTCGAGAAAGTAAGAAATCTTTGCAGGATAGACATTTGGAAAACGGGATCGTTAGGAACCAACGAACGAGCATCGTTTGATCCTGAGACTTGGTAGCATTGGAAAACTACCGAACGTGAAACATATAAACCTGTTAATCGTGGCATTACCTTTTGTTCCATTCGTTTCACATTGGGCCCATATGGCCGATATATATTTTATATGTATTTTCCCATATGACCACGCTGGGTTTTAATGGTTAAGAACGAGGTAAAACGTAATGCGCACCATTAAAAATTTCCATGACGAAAAAAATCGTCATCCCCATTGGAGTTGTCTTGCTGGTATGACGAAATATTTCGTCATACCCTGTTAATAGGTTAAACGACTTTTCCCTGTGTCCCATTTAAGTCCGTCGACGGTAATATTTGTCCAACGTTAATTAACAGTTTCACCCAAGGCGTTATTCGCTTTCCCTTCGGTTCCGTTTGCTCGTCACCGAACGTTGCCCAATTTATCCGCGGGTCTCGCGTCTCCGAATTCGACGGATATCAATTCTCTTTCCTATCCGTTCAAATGATATTCCCGCGTCGAAACACTGGTACCACAGTCCTTGTTTGAACATACATAATACCGAAACCCCGCGCAGTGCACAACATCGAGGCGGAATACTTTACGGAAGGCCGCGAATGCGTGAATTGCGGCGCAATATCCACCCCACTGTGGCGACGGGACGGTACCGGCCATTACCTCTGCAATGCGTGCGGCCTCTACCACAAGATGAACGGAATGAACCGGCCATTGGTCAAGCAGCCACGTCGAATGGTAAGAATAGAGAGAAGCGAGTAATCGTCGGCTAGACCGAGAGCACACGGAAAGAAAAAAGAAAAGTGTACATACCTCGCTTTTTTTTTTTTTTGCGACGTGTGTGCCCACCGTTTTTTTCGGTTGGCACCACTGGTCCTCCCACGGTGCGTGGTTCTTTCTCCTCGCCGTAAGAAAAGCCCAGCCGCAGAACACGTACGGAGGAGGAGAAGAATCGAACCGTGGATGGGATACGCGTGGAACAGACAGACAGGAGCCTGTGTGGAAATTCGCCCGTCGCCCGTCGCCCCTCCCCCCCCCTCACCCCCCAAATGGTTTCGCCATCCGTGCAAATGTGTTCAAATAAGCATAGAGATGTGTGCAACATGTAATAATATGTGCAATGTGCTATACGCATTCGCCCGACAATGCAATGGTAACCGGTCGTATTTGTTTGATCCGGCCCGAAGGGCTGAAAATCGGCGTGATCCTACAGACTTCTATGCAGGGTGTAACAAAACTGTTGAAATGGGACACTCGTGAGGCGATTTGGAACAAGTTTTTCTTTAGCGAAAATGTTGTTTCTAATCGTCCCAGGAATCCCACATTTCCAGGAATCGAAGCTATCTTGGGACACCCTGTATATAGAAGTCTGTACGTGATCCGCGATTCGCGAGTCGTACGCCGTTCGAGCGTATATTACCCGCGAATCTCGTAGTCGTCCGAAAAAAAACGAATACATACTACCAAGCATGCGCGCGAGCGGAAAAAAAACAAAAAAAAAAAAAACGAAGCACCCCTAACGTTTGGCATCCTGTCTCTGTTTCAGTGGCGGACCAGGGCGATTTCTACAAAGGCTTCTGTGGGTATAGTGGCGCCCGTCGCGCCTTCGAGGAGAAATCGAGCCGCCGTTTGGTAGGTGTTTTCCCCCCAACACTGCTCATTCTCTCTCTCTCTCTCTCTTTTTTTTTTCTCTCGCTCTCGCATCTCTCACTCGCATCTCTCTATATCTCTTCATACAATACACCCATGACAATTTTTTCCTATCTATCCTCTTCTTCTCGAGGCCATTTTCGATTCCCCAAACAGTTGTACCCGTCGATGTTCCCATTATTCTTCACCTCTATCGTCGAGAATTCTTCACCCGGTATTGTTTTTCATTGCGCCGTCCATTCTTTTCTTCCATCTTTTGTTATCGTTTCTCGTTGCATTTATCTCCCGACCAAAAACTGAAACGACGACCAACGGACGCGCGTTTTCTCGCCGTCGATCCGTCCCGTAACGGCAACTTCCGATCGAACGTGGTTTGTCGTAGCTCCAAGGTGCCACTATACCCATGGTACGATTACGATCTCCTGTTCGGAATCATGCGCAGCCTGGAAATAAAAACGCGCGACGCAGACTTCGTTCGATTTTTGTCGCGTTCGAGATTCTCGTCGATGATAACTAGACTGCGAATTTTATGCATTTGAATAGCCTATATAGAGCACTCCCAAATACAGTAAAAGACAAAACTTTCATCGGAACCAACGAATATTTCTATTTGATTCTTCACCCAATAAGATATTTAATAGAAGAAATAAATTCCTACATTTGTTCGTGTTTTTAGAAATTATTTTATAAAATGTGATTTTGCATAAAAATCCGCAGTCTGATGATAACAATGGACACACATCCCAGATAGTACATGACGCCTTAAATACGCCCATTTTACGGCTGTTTTAGGTCTAAGACGCCTTTAAGCCGTCTTCAAGACGTCATTAGGCGTCATGTGCTATCTGGAATTGCTACAGGCTGCCCGTGAACTTTCGTGCGGAGTGTGCTGGTTACGCTAATTCGCGCGATCAATCAATCGTTTGATACGCGCGAGCTGGCGTCCATGTTTATTATTCGGTGGTTGAATTAGACGTGTAAGACACATAAGTTCTTTTCCCTGCCTCTTCTTGTCAAGCTGTTGCTGTCTTGCTTCCTATATCTCGGCTGTTTCTCTCACTCGATCTCTTGTTCTTACACATGTACATACAGACTCCTTTCGATTATCGTCCGACTTGTTCTACACGATTATTGTCCAGGCGTTATCCCCACCACTGGGGAGTGGGGTTAATGGAACCTGTCAAACGCACACTTTGTTGCCCCTCCGCTTTTGTTTCCGAGGCTCGAGCTTCGGGCAAAAAACGAATTTTCGAGGGTCTAAAACATTTCACCCTATACGATTACTGTCGGGACGATAATCGAAAGGAGTCTGTATTTCTTTTCTAACCTCCTTCCCCCCATCCCTTTGTTCTTATTCACTTTTTCTCTCTGTCACTCTTTCTCTCCCCTCTCCCCTCTGTTTCTCTCATACACATACATTCATTGTTAATCTCATAGCCGAAAAGAAAGCGCAGAGACGTGTTTCAAGAAGGTTTCGTGTATTCGCAGTCCGCCTCGAGACGCGTAGGCACCTCATGCAGCAACTGTCAGACAACGATGACCTCTCTGTGGCGACGCAACGCGATGGGCGAGCCAGTGTGCAACGCCTGTGGCCTTTATTATAAGTTGCACGGCGTGAACAGGCCGCATACGATGAAGAAGGACAGCATTCAGACGCGAAAGAGGAAGCCGAAGGGCAGCATGAAGTCCGCGGACACGCCGATCGCGGGAAACGTTGCTTCTTGCGCGAACAACAACAACAACAACAGCACCAGTAACAATAACAACAATAACAACAACAACAGCTTGAAAATAGAGCCAGGTATGCATACTCGACGAATGGGCGACTTTCAGTTAACTCTCCGACTAGATTCAGCATGTGTACAGATTCCTTTTGATTATCGTCTGGTTTGTTCTACACGATTATTGTCCAGGACTTATCCCCTATACTGGGAAGGGCGGGGGCTGTGGAATCTGACAAGCGCATAATTTATTGCCAATTATTAGTTTTGGGAGTTACTGAAATTTATACCAAGATTTTTCTTCTACGCCACTTTTTCCCTAGCATAAGCCAAGTTTGCACGCGAGGGTACATATAGTGTATAATTTAACCTCGATAATGATATTCCAATCGTACGTTTCACAGATACGTATGCTGATTTGCGGATGGGCCACGCCGGAGTACCTCAAGTGTCATCCAACGGTGTGCTGTACGGTAGTTTTCAACCCTCGGGTCGTATAGTGTCCTATCAGTCGTCGACACCTGGAACGTACTACGACTTAATCGCTTCGCAGCAACAGCATCAGCAGCAACAGCATCAACAGCACCAACATCAGCAGCTTCTGGAGACGCATTCACCGAAAGTCGAGTGCCCGTCGCCGCCATGCGCGAACCGATCGCCGGTAATGATCTCGGCGAGTCATTCGCCGGATCATCATCAGCTCTCTGCTCCTCATATCGTTACCCTCGAAAATTCCTCGCCTGGCACAGCGGCCACGAAAATGATGATCGATAACGGTCACTTGGAGAGACCCACGGTAGTTTCGATATCTTCCTAAAGGCTCGCCGTGATATCTTGACGATATCTTGGCGCACACCTTTCGCGAGGACTCTCGAGAAGTGATCGTCTTTTTAGCGTGAACGGGACGAATTTTGGAACTGCACAGACCAGAAATCGTTCGGGCAAACTGTCCACGTTAGACTGAACCCGCTTTCGATTCCCTTTGTTCGGTAAGGCTTCGAGGGTAACGAGGACGAGCAAAACGCTCTCGTATTCCTGCCTCGCATAAATTCCACACGGATGGATCCGGAGAACAGCTTTCGATTGCGACATCATACTCGAAATCGGGTTGAAAGTTGCAGTCATATATTAAGAGCGATCAGTCTCGTTCGATCTCAGCAACCAAAGAAAAACGCGGTAGATGGTTGACGGTATGTAAATGGTAGACGGTAAATTTATACGGTTGACATTTGAAAATTGACTGTTGACAATTGACGATAGACGCTTAACAGTCGACGATGACGCGACAGAACGCGCGGTGGTATTCACGTAACATTATGTCGTCGAACACACAGGTACTCGACGTACTCTGCGAGTACGGTACCACTGTTCCTTGGTCGATTTTGTAAATAACAGTAAGGCATACACATCGTCTATTATTTTCATCTTTATATTTTATTTTGCGTTTTACTCCTTCTTGTTCGGTGTCTCTAGTTTTCTTTCCGTCTTCCAACCTTCGTTTTCGCGATGTATCACCGAGACTCGATGGAAAAAGGTTGAAAAATCGATTAAAAATTATTCGAGCGTACCGTAGGTCGCGAGAACTAACCACTCCGTGGAGAAGAGGTGATCGGGGATCGGGCCGTTTATCGAGGTAGAGAACAACTGGGTATGAAGTCCCTTTCGGAACGTTTCTATCCACGCGTGTACCGTTTGCAATTGTTTCGAAGCGCGCTCGAAGAATCGAATGGCATTGGAAGAAGAAACGATGAAACGATTTCATCGACGCGATGTCAGATTCAGGACTATACTCGAGTCTTGACGGTGAAACAGTCGCGAATACGCATTCCATTTCGAGAGGCTCGTTGTAAATAGTTTTATCGAGCGGTTGTTAGTGCGTGAACCGGATAAAGACTTGCATGCGTAAAAACCTTCGGTTTGCTCTGGTTGTCCGTGACACTCGTCGTCGTGGAGCCACGTTAACGATCGACGGATGCAATGGAAACAGTACACGCTTGTTGTCCTTTTGTAAATAGATGGTAATAAGCTAAATATACAACGTAAACGTTAACGTTAACGTAATTAAGTCTATATTAAGTCAGTTTTACTATCACTGTGAATTCATTCGGTGCGTTGTACGGCGCGATCAGGAACTTGGACGACGGACGGGCAGAAAAAAAAAATCGTTTGTCGGTATTTGGAAACTGTAGAACACACGGAAGTTATATAGGACCGCTGCGTAATTCGCCGACACGTGTGAAACGGTGTCCGTCGTTGGAGTTTAAATAACGATCAGAAAAAAAAGAATGTACTCGACGCGTGAAGGTGGCGCGCGAAATCAGAACTTTGCATGTTCAGAGTGTACTGTACCGAATCGGTTATTTTGAAATAAAAAGGGATATTTAACTTGAAACAGGAGAAAGACAGACAGGTGTTCGGAGTAAGATAATGATCATGCGTTTGCTGATTGATCGGATGATGCGACTATGTGTTTTCGATAGTTGACGGTTCGATCGTAAAACGAACGAACGCGATTCTATTATTATGAGTATACACACACGTATATCCAGGGGGGGGGAGGGTGCCCTAAGTCCCTAGAACGGTGAAACGAACCAACGAATACGACCAGCTGGTGAGGAGAAGTCGGTGTACGGGCAGGAAAACTTCATCCCTGTGTATTTTCGGCGATAACGCGATATCTCGGTTAATCTCGGTTAAAGGTTGGAACGAGAGAGAGAGAGTGGAACGTGTGTGTGAGCGAGCAACGAATCACATTGGCGTAGCCTGAACGGTGGGCAACCAGTGTGTTCCGTGTCGACACGATTTCCCGTATTTCAGATATGCCGGCTGTCGCGAATCGCGTCGAAGAAAGTCGAAAAAATCGAAAAACGAAAAAATGGGAGGTCGTAAAATGTGGTCGGACCACTGGGGTCTCGTTGCAGTCTGCTCCTGTCGGTTCAACATCTTACGACCGTGTCTCACCTGACCGTCTTATCGGTGGAATCCCGCTTGTGTGCTCTGTAAGTATGACGACACCCTGTCCTCTCTAACCGAGCTCGGTTCTTCTCCCGCTGTTTTCAACGATAACACGACGCGCGCGCTCCATATACAGTGTACATACATGTATATATATATATGTATATATATATATATGTATATATATATATATATATATATATATATATATATATATATATCTATATATATATCGTTCGTCTCGGCGAAAAGTAAACCGATCCCTTGCCACGACGGTTCTTTCGCTCCGGAAAATAGCCTCTAAGGAACGAGCAATAAATCCCGAGGAGACCCGTTCTCCTTCTCGGACCGAACGGTGGAAGGGAATACGAGCGAAGGAGAGATAAGCATGGGGCTGAGGTGGAACAGGGGAGAGATGAGGAAACAGGGGAACGACCAAAGGGACTGGAAAAGGATAGAGGATAAATGATAGAGAATAAAGAATAGGGGATAAAGGATAGAGGATGAAGGATAAAGAATAAAGTAAAATTAAAATGAGAATAAGGAGAGGGGGATCGAAAGGGAAGGGAAGGGATAGCAACGAGGTTCGGCGAAAGTCTAAACGGGAACGAGTGGCTGGGAGAGTGAGTCGACGGTAAGGAGAGGGTAGCTACCCTATTGGGGAGGGGGAGGGGTGTGGATCGCCGCGTTGGGTATTGCGCGCGGTACCAAGATGGCGGCCGGCGAAAATACAGGAGAAAGAAATCGATGAATCGACGCGCGCGATGCCGCACGTTGTGCTCGTCTACTTTTAATCGTAATCGGTCAATATTTGACGCGCGGGTCTTCACTCCGGTCGAATCGAAGCTTCGGCGCGACGCTACTAGGCGGCAGTCGGAAAGGCGGTGGCGGCAACCGTCTCCCGAATCGTCGACGCACCTTGGCAGCGCACCTGTGTCAAGCCGCATCGCGCCTTGCCATCTTCGCTCTCGAATCGTAACGTGACTCGCGTCGGCCTCGCGAGTCGACCGTCGACCGCCGACGCGATACAGATCAGAGAGTCCGCTCTTCGATATCTACGGGGAACCTCGTTCTCTACGGAGAGAATCCTTTTCTTCGGTCTTCAATCACGGTGAGTCTCGATTTTTCGCTTTTCTCTGCTTTCCTTCTGCTTTATACCCGTCTACGAATTCGAACACTTTTTCATCCCGTCAACCTGTTGCTCTCACCCCTCTGCACCGATCGTGTGTTCGCCCAGCTTTGCCGTGCGGTATCTACGCTCTCTGCGCTCTGTATACGCAGTCGGCTGTTTGGGAAAATCTGACGAACGATAACGAAACTAATGGAGTGGACGAGAAGAGAAAAAGAAAGGGAGGGAGAGAGAAAAAAAGACAAAAACGTACGTTCGATCGATCTTCCATTCGGATTCGATTCGAGGGAATATTTCCATGCAAGCTCGATGGTACGGGCTAAATCTCGGACGTGGATGAACGTAGCTTGAGAGAAGAACAATCTCGAAACGTACGATAGAAAAATGCAAGTTGAGATAAAGAAGTGAAACGAGAAATTGTGGTGGTCCGCGAGACACCCGCGGTAATCGTGGATCATGGCTAGGCAATTCGAGACGATGCGTGGCGCGACTACACAAGAAGAAACGAGATAGATTCAGGTAAGGCGAGGCGACGTGCGAGGCTGCGGGGGAGGGGACAGGTGAGACGGTGGCGAGGAAAGACGAAGCAGAGCGGATAGAGCGGTATTTGGAAAGACGTAACTCGTTCGCCCGGTAGCACGCGCACGATCCAAACGGAAACACTTGTGTTTTACGTTCGATTCGGGCCGACAACACTTGTGAACTGTCGGTGGTGGCTGGTCCGCGGTCGGTTTTCTCCTTCGAATCGACTCGATCACGCTCGGTTTACCTCTTCGATCGTGTCTCCACGTTGTCGGAACAGTTTGGTCTTATTCTTTCTCCTATGGGCGGCACCCAATTCACCGAGCTGTCCGAGTATTTTCCGATCGAAGTTTTCCTGTTCCCCGCTGTCTATCCACGAGAAGTAAATCCGATGGTCACGACGTTGCGTCTGGCACGAAACTATTCGATATCGAGGCGAGATACCCCTGGAGCGGAGATATTTTATTAATCGTTAAGCACATAGACGCCGTAAGATAATGGAACAATATCGGGCACCGACGATAATACCGTTTGTCGCGGGGTTCGGGTTAATTATTCGACTCCGCGATCCGTCTAGTCGTCTTTCCTCGTTAGATGTATCGCGAACCCTTGATCCGTTCATCGGCCTGTAACGTCAATCACTTTGGTCTGCCGTGGCTTGGTGGTATCGAACGTGTCGCGTAACATCGAGACACCTTCGTGATTTGTCCTAGTACCCTCGCGAGCAAACTAACGCTAGGGTACTCCTACCACTTGATAAATTTATTTCAAGTACTGAAATAAATATTAAACCGAATGTTAATTTGGCATAAACTTCAGTAACTCCAAAACCAAGTGGTAAGAGGTCCTTTATCTTACGCTACTTTTTCTCCTAGCGAAAAGATCGAGTTTGCTCGTGGAGGTACATATGTTGGATTCAGAAGTCAATCAATGTAAAGTCACTATTTCATTAAAAACGACTTTATGCCGTATAAATACACTTTCATGGTTTATCTTATACGCAACCAGTTCCATATCGATGTATCCAATACACACGAATAATTATTTATTTATCAATAGCATATATTACTTTTGACAGTCCATTTTCTAAACAATAATCTCTGTCAACTTACTTTGTGACTCACACCGATTAACTTCCAAGCCCTCCATATATAATTTCCGTAGTCTTCGCCTCTTTCTAGGCAGACATACGCGAATAAACGTTTTCGGTCTTGTTTGGTTTCGCACACGTCGGCGCGAGACACATCCAAACGAGACGAACTTGCGCGCCCGTTGTAAATTAAAGTAATTGCGTTGTAAAGTTCGAGATTGCGAGAGAGTTGGTCGTGAATCGCGTTATCAGACGAGCACGGTTCAGGTCGAATCGTGGATCGTGAACAGCATCGTCGCGTTACGTTTCTCATCCAAGGGTGGGGGTAGGGGGGGGGAGGGAGGAAATATCGAATAGAGTAGTCGCGAAGACGCGACAAGTGTCATCGAATGAATTTTCTTGGACGTCCAGAAGACACTCGCGAGACGGAAAATTACGCGCGACAGAAGGAGCTTCGGGGAAGAACGGTCACGTAAAGTTGCGTCTACATTACACAGCAAAACAGTGTTGTACAACAAACTGTTGTATAACCTTGCCATAAGAATTACATTATCGTTAATATTTTCCCAGACACAAAAGGAATTCCATTCTTATGTCAAATGTTACATTTATTCTAAACCATAAATGTTAATACCAGCGAAATAGTATTTCACGTCGACCCAAAGAAAACTAATAATGTTTATTAAATTCACTTCAAGGGGTTAATAATCGCGTCACACTAGATGGATAACATATAACAGAAAATTGTTACGCAGCATCACGTTGTATAACATTTTTCTTTCTGTTTTTGTAACAAGTTTTATAACTTTGCTATATAACATGTTGTATTACATAGTGTAGACGCAGCTTAACGTGCACGCGTTCGAGTCATCCCCTCGACCCTCTCCGCGGAGTCTCGAGCAAACCTTGCGAGTCCGTGACGGTAGATTACGGGGAGGCAGTGGGGTCGCGAGCACACCTAACTACCGTCGAACCGAAATAAAAAAAAAGTTTCGTTTTCTCCTTGATGCGGCACAACGATAGCACTTCGTAGAGACGCCACAAACCACAGACACGAGCGCGCGTACACGCACACAAACGCGCACACAGGCACCGACATCGTGTCGTCGCCAGGGATTTTCACTCTCGCCCGATAAGGATTTCCTACTCGACTGATAAAGAAAATGACCTCGCAGCGTTCCGCGATTCCCATTCGGTCGTGACGCAACCCTTTGGCTCGGTACACGTTTGTCGCAATTCCGAGTTGCGACGATTCCTCCAAAAATGTTTTTCTTATCCGGTGAAGTGGTGCGCAGTCCCGTCCGAGGAACGCAAATACTCAGTTACTTGATAGGCTCGAGCTCGTCGACGGGCCTCCTCCCATGATCGGTACATAGATCGGTATCTTTGGCTGCGTCGCGACGAACCTACGTTGTCATCGTGCACCGATGCATCGTCCAATTCGTTCTGGATCTTTTCCTCGATTGGGTACGGTTGTACCAACGGAACTGGATGTTTGGTAATCCAACAGGCGTTGCGCGTCGAGCGTTGACGCGGTTTACAGATCGGGAGGGCGAACCAAGCGGAGCCAAGTCAACGGAAGACAGGGCTTGGCTGGATACGACACAGAACCACATTTCTTTACTGCGCGTCTTTTTATGAGAACGACGAGAGAGCGATCTGCATGAATTATCGGAAACGGTTAGGGTATATACCACGAGGACCAGTCGAATCGACGAACGAACCGATCCGAACGGCTGGCTTTCCCTCGCCGAGTGAAACTCGACCGCGAAACAAGAGGAACGGCCCTACGCGTTCCTGGCGGACCCGACGACTGAAATTATCATTTTAGCTGATATACTAGCTAATGTAAGGATGCAGTTTTATCTCTTATTATCATGGGAAACGAGATAAATCGCGATAGTGCCGTTTATTTTGACAACGGCGTGCCTCTCGCAGCCAGCTCGGTCGAGACCTCATCGGTGGACGCGCGACGATTTGCCGATTATGCCCCGACAATTCGCCGCGAAACGTCCTCCGTTTCCTTCTTATCGTAAACTCTACGTTTTCTCTGTGTTGCACGATCAGGCAAAACTCGAAACAGTGATCGTTTCTTTTTGATGGATCGACCCTACGTCCGCGATCACGATCTTTTCGTTCTTTGACCCTCTCGGATTCGCCACGCCTGGCATCTTCACCATGCTCTGGCTTATTTCGTTCTCCGTTCGTAAAATCGTGACGATCCACCATTTAAAACAGCGAATCTAAGGTCCGTTCTCAACGAGTCCTCCCCCTTCACCCCCCTCCCTTGTCGCTTCGTTCGTCCACTGTCCGAACGGTTGCGAGTGGATAGCGTGACTCTATCGACTCGTTATCGTTCGTTATCAACGACGCAGCGCGAAGCAATCTGTATTTCCTTCGTTCGTCGATAAACAATTAAATTTTTCGATTTCAACCTAGATAACCGTTGTAGATGAAGCCGTTCGATTTGCCGTGTTCCATTTCACTCGGGACAAAGCACGCTCGACGATATTTCGATATTTCGAGGCCTCGATGGATCGCGGTACACGACCTACGGGAATGTACCCTCGCGAGCAAATTCGGCTTCCGCTACAGGAAAAAGTGACTTGGTAAAATTTCAAGTCCTGAAATAAATGTTAAACCGAATATTAATCTTGGAGTTTGTTCGTGAGGGTACTCCGATGACTTAAGGGAAAAGCAATTTAGGGTTAAGGGCCTCCTACAGTTTGATATATTTATTTCAAATAGCGAAAGAAATGTTGAAACGAATGTTAATTTGAGAGAAATTTTTTCCGTAGTGGAAGTCGAGTTTGTTATTAGAGTACGAGAATCGAGAATGATCCCCCCCCCCTCCCCCGCCCCAGACAAAACATTCCATCGTCGTTTACTGTTTTCGAAACAATTCTTGGATCTGGCAACCCGTTATCATCCACGATCATTTCGAGGAGTATGTATTTTGTTTCTATCGGGGAATCTCGAAACGATCTCCAGCGCGTCACGTACACACCGTACGCGTAAATTTCGCCGGATCGAGCCCAGTTTCGGAGCCCGCCTTTGACGGTCACCCTACAGATGACGTTTCGTTTGCGAAGCTGAATCAGAGCAGGCGGTGATGACGTAACGAGCGTAGTCATTATCCTGCGAACGATGACTGATCCGTTCGACGAGTCCAAAATGTAGGAGACCCGACTTAGTTAGCCAGGTCAAAGTGATTTGTTGACCCATCCTTTGCAAGCAACCATTCGGTTCGATTCGAAACGAGCGTTACAGATACAGTTAGCAGGCTCGGTTTAAGATTTTTTGTGACCCATCGCTATCAAATTTTTCGGGGACCCACTTGGTTGAACATCGGAGAAGGGGGTGTAATACAGCACAAGAAAATACATGAATCTTCACAAACTGAAATTTAATTTGAATAAAATTAAATTACATTTAATTGTAACGAAATGGAGGGTTCGGTACGGGGTCACCCTGGAACGCGGAGCTCGGGGCAACAGCCTCCCCTAGACCCCCCCCCTTAATCCGACGTTGAGAGCGAGTGAGTGAGAAAGAGAGAGGGGGTGTGAGAAGGGAGAGGGAAAGTCGTGAGGTAATTTTTCGACGGCGTGGCGAGATAACCGTTTGCAGTGCAAACGATTCACCGTGGCACCCTACCGGTGACACACGGTGGCCGGCGCAAAATGGCGTCGGCAACGATGGCTAACGCTGCCCGTACGTGACGAGGGGGAACGGGAGGGAGGACGTGAACGTGGACACCTCTGGGTCTCTCCTTCCCCTCGTCCTTCTCGCGAGCTTCATGCGTCGCGTTATCTTCCTCGTAGCTAGCGAACGGCCGGTCGTTATCGACGAACAAACAAACGGACCTCCCCTCCGTCGACGCTTTTTTCACTCGATCGCCAGGGATTCTCGACTCGTCTTTCTCCCTACCTTTCGCCAGTTTCCCGTCGCCAGAGGAAAAGGAAGAGACGCGCGACACGGAGTCCCGTCGGCGAAGACCCTGTTTTGTTTGCTTGGTCGATGTACATAAAAAAAAACGAGCGTCCCTCTGGCGAGGATTACTATTAAGATCGTTCCAGGGAACGGAGGAAAGGCGCGACGATAACGCGACGGAAACGCCACCACGGTCGGTTACTTGTTACTTCTCGGACCGATCGCGGCATCGTTCAATCAGGTACGAGATACAACAGCCGCGCTTTTGCTTTTAGTCTTTAGCCTTCAACCTTCAGTCATTATTCTTCAACCATTAGTCTTCAACTTTCAATCTGCAACCATTAGTCTTAAAACTTTAGTCTTCAACCTTCAGTCTTCTACAATTTTCAACCTTCAGTGTTCAACCTTTAGCCATCTTCTACCATTCGTGGCATCCGTTTCGCTCGGCTTCCGACCGATTTCCGGTATCGTTCGCTTCGTGTTTCGCGACAAAAGGAGAAAGCGTCGCGATCGGTCCGCGGGATCGACCGGAATCGGAACGGGACGACGCTGGTTTGGCAACACTTACGATCCGAGAACAGGCAAAGGAAGAGCCGAGCCGTTCGTCGCGTGCGTCCGGAAGTCGAAACTTGACATTGTCGATGGGAAGTGTGACGCGCGAGTCAGAGCAAACATTCTTTCGTTCTTTTTCACCCAAGACGGACGAGGTGCGCCGTTCGTCGTTCTCTCTTCGCCCCTCCTTTCTAAACCGGGGATGATTCTCCTTGTTCATCGTTCGTAGCGTTCGTTGTGCCGTGTGCCCAGTCGTTTCGGTTTTCGTGCAGTCCGGTTCACCGTGCCCGCGCTACAAAGCAGTCGCGTGCCACCCTGCCACCAGCCATCCTACTACCTCCGATATGCAGTGGGTACAGAACACTTTTTTTTTAATTGGTCCAAGTGACTTGAGTTCTTCTGTGAAGTTAGAAACATTAATTTACTAAATGATGTGTAAAAGAAAATTTGAAAAAGTTTCAATCGGACGGAATTGCAAAGAAAATAACGGTCGCTTTTTACAACTTTTTTTCTTTGAGACTGGAGTGAAAATTTCGTAAATACATTTCGACGATTTGTGTTAGTTGTATACGAAATTTCATGAAAATCGGTAACGTTATGTGATACGAACGATTAAAAATGTTGAAAATCACAGTTTTTGGCAACTGTCGATCTAGAACTGTGGGAAATGTACGCCTTTAGTCTCAGTGTAGCCGTCGATCGGTATCAACAGATTCCTCGAACCGTTCGGAACGCGTGCATTTCGTATCGTGGACTTGTTTCAGGGCGAGATGAACGAAAGCCTGGTAAAGCGTGAGATCAAACGCGAGTGGGAGGACACTCGGGTCGAGGAAGACTCGGATCGGACGACTGGAAGTGCGAGTGGAACCAGGACATCGATCGAGGAACATCAACCGGTGGAAAATTCTCGAACGGTGATCACCGCCAGAAGGCACGTACGCACGATCACCACAGCCGGTCATATAACCGAAAACGTCCACGAAACGGAGCCCGAGACTGGATCCAACTCACCTGACGCGAACTCGATGCCGGACGATCTGCAAATTCAGCCGCACCATCGTCATCTTCAACAACAATCCGTCGATCAGCAGCATTGTCAATCGCAACCGCGCCACTATCAAGAGGAAAATCAACGTGACCAGGGGAACCATCAAGCCTCGCAACACTTCGTGCAAATCTCACGTGCTACCACGGATGTACAGCAACAGCATCAACATCGTCCTGGTGAACAGCAACGCGTTGTGTACGTGACCAGTAACGGGCAGGAAGTGAAGGTCGAGGTTCCAGAGACGGTAGATTCTGCCACGTTGTCGGTCAAGGAATCAACCAGGTAAGTATACAGGGTGGTTCCTAAAAACATGTGAAATACTTCAGAAACTTTTTATCTAGATCGTAGCTTCTCACAATTTATCGACACACCGTCCCCCCTTACAGAGTTTTCTTTTTTGTTCAGCGTCCCCTTCGGTTAAACAATCTCTGTTATAAAAATTTCCAAGTCTAGTTGCGTGTTTAATCTTTGGATCTTAAATAGTTAGACTGAAAATAAAGACATCAAAATAACTAGAACGCGCCCCTAGATCTCTTCAGCGCCCACTTTGGGAACCTATGATCTAGATAATGAGTTTGCCCATCTCTGACCTAGACCTAGGTCTGCAATATGATCCGTTAAAACAAAGGGAACTTACCCAAAGGTACGAGACCGGTGACGGACCGGAACGAACGGACGTGGAAAGTATGTACGTTTACGCGACGGACGGTCAACAGTTGCGCCGTGAGAGTCTCGCGATCGCGAGTCAGATGCAAGACAGAAGGATCCAGGTGCATCCAAGCACTGGTGGTCAGCAGAGGTACAGTCCCCGCGAAACTGGCCAATCTGGCGGCGGTGGAAACGGAACAACCAGTAGAATCTACCATCACGGTTCGCCGGTTCTGGTGCCAAGCAGCGAAGACTACGAAACGGGAACATCAAATGTGGCGACGTCTTCGTCGACGTCCGTGTCCGCGAGTGGTAATACGAGCGTCCAACTGGGATCACCAGCACCGCCTTATTCACCACCGATAGACGGTATCCACGGTGCGTCGAGTGGTCAACAGCAACAGCATCATTTGGTCCCTGGATACGCGGAAGCCGTGGCCGCTGCAGCTGCTGCAGCCGTGAATATCAAAGGATCGAGCACCTACACCACTCTAGAAACAGTAGCAATTCCTCCGTCGCAAGCGGTACAGTACGCCACGCAGTATATATCCGCTGGGGAAACATTTCAACAAGCACCAACTTACACCTACGCGAAATCTGGGGACCAAGTGATTCTAGCGTATCAGGCGGCCGCTCAGTTGGGCTCCCGTGTTGCTGGGGTAAGTATCTCCTTTTGCTATGCTTCGTTTCGTTGATTGATTTCGCTAATCGACCCGATATCGACAGGTGGAGTCACCGGGTAACACCTACATCAAAGGCGACCCGACTCTGGCCTCGTCGATAGGAGTGTCGCGCGCCGTACCACTCCATTACGAGCAACCACCATCTCCGGGTTCCCAGGTGACGCTGTACGGCGGTGGCGGTGGCAATGGCGGCGGTGGGGGAGGAGGAACCAGCTCGTACTCGTACCCAAAGTCCACCACATCCGGGGAATACTGGACCACAGCCGGAACACCACCCCCGCCCACGTTCGAGAGCATTCCAGGCTACCCAAACGTGACGGCGATCTCCGTAAACGACGGGGCTAACATGCAATTGTATTCCGGCGGTGGTTACAGCGTGTCGGCTGGAACCGCTGGTTCCCCGTGGCCGAATTTGTCCATTCCCGACTCGGACGAGAACTTCGATGGATCCATGGTCCCCACCGAGACGAAGGAGTGCTCCAGTTGCGGTACACCGACTCCTGGATGGAGACGAGACGAGACCGATCATTATTACTGCAATAACTGTATCTACACGAAAATGCACGGAGTCAACAGGCCGATCATGAGATGCGGCAAACCGAAACAACCTGTCACCCCGGTAATTCGTTTGGTTATTTCTTATAGGACTGTTTCATCGTTGGGTACATTTTGATGTCCTCTTTTTGTAATGGCAAACAAAAACATAGAGCATTCCATTTAAAAAAAAAACGTTACCATTAGAGAAATCTCAGGAGATATAACTTCGAATTTCCCCCCGAAAAAACTTTCACCCAAACGATTTTTACCGTTGTACCGTAACAAATAAGAGAATAATTAAGGGTGGCAGAGTTTGGTGAGACACCCTGTATATATAGAAGTCGATGGACCGTTTGCAAGATTCTCAAGATACTATATATTGTTCTCTTTTTCTTCCTTCTTTCTTTGTTCTCTCATAAAGCCAGCTACATACTCTGAATTCTCTGGCTATCCGTGCTGTTCGTCGCGTGCGAAAATTGGAACGACGCGAGCAGCGTTATCTACGCCCGAGCAAATACACGCTACGCGGGAATTACACCGATTGTTTACTCTAGTTTCGTCGCTTAGGCCGCTTCAATTTTCGTGGTTGCGATTGCGCGAACTGTAGGAACATTCTACGGACCGTGGATCTCGAGGCAGTGATGTTTAGAGATCGTGGTATCGTTTATTGAAAATACGCGTGTAATTTATATACCCGTTTTTCAGTCTGTATAGTTTTTACTACACGGGTACACGAATAATAAAATACACGGGTATGAACTGATTGAAACGCAGTTACATTAATTACACATGTACACGTGTAATGGAGATCTCTAATTGACCACGGAGAACGTTGACGAAATCATTGATTCTTTTCAGACGGGCGTTCGAAGGACGGGGGTGCAATGCGCGAACTGCAGGACCAGCAACACGACCCTCTGGCGGCGAAACAACAACGGTGAGCCAGTCTGCAACGCCTGTGGACTCTACTACAAGCTGCACAACGTAAGTTCCTTGTAGAATATTCCGATACAAAAATTGCTGCGAATCCCGCGGCAGTTTCCACGTTAAACATACACAGCATACAATCAAGGGCGTAGCCAGGGGGGGGGGGGGAATTTAATTTTAAAATTTTCAATGATTTATGACTTTAAAAACAAGTGTGTCTGGCTACGTACAGCCTTTTTCACTGTGGCAATCGATGTGTTAATATTTTTGCCCCCCCTCTGACTGATAACCTGGCTACGCCCATGCATGCAATACAGCTTCCGGTTAACCCGCGAACAGTCAACTCTGAATAGCAGGGCCACGATTTCTTTACCGATTATTCCCTCGAACGCATCGTCGCGATCACATCGCGCCGTATATGGCCACGTGTTTGTACAACTGTCGACCCGGATGAGACGCGCATAGAAAGAGTAACCGGTGTGAAACCGAATCATCCTTGTGATTCTCAATCATCCAAAGATTCCGTCTATCATTCCCCGTCGAGACAAGGCTGTTCTTTCGACGAAATTCTCGTTCGTGGTCACAGTAAATACTCGATGAGTGTTCGACGGTTCCTCGGCACTGAATATTAAATATTTTATAAATCAATAGTCATTCGACATCTGCTTGTCAGTGCCGAGGAACCTTCGAGCACTCATAAAAAATTTACTGTAACGTGATGTTACCGTGTGCCACAGCTCGAACCTTTCGTCGGTGATTCTTTCTTCCGTCCGTGCCTCCCTGCCGCTCTCGTTCCGAATAGTCGAGCGCACACACGGCTCGCCGGAAAACCAGCTCTCGCCGCGGTGAACAAACAACGTACCTACCTCCGGTATTTGTGCTGCTCGTAACCGGGATCGAGGCTCGCGACACACGCACGCACGCGTCGCGAACGGCCCGTGTGATTCGTCAAACTACGCCGAGTGGGATCTTTATACGATTATGCGGAACGACCAGAGATCTTCGTGACGAATCTCATTACACAATTTCTTGCTTCGATCTTCAAGTATCTCGATGAGTACCCATTCCGTTTTCCAGATAGCGCATGACGCCTTAAAGACGCCTATTTTAGGTCTAGGGCGTCTTTAAGCCGTCATGTACTATGGGAAACGAGCTAAGGAGAACATTATTTTGGGAGTTTAATCGTTACGAAATCATTGGAATTGACATTGACGGACATCACGGTCAGGAGGAAAAAACGCAGGGAGAACTTTTGGGCGCACCACGTTTCTCCATTTCTCGGTAATACATCGGAGCAATTTGTCGATTGACGTGTTATCGATGATGCTCTTTGCGATCGCGAACATCGATACGTACACCGAATCGATGATTTTTATCGCGTTTCACCAATCCAATTAAGCTTGCCACACCACCCCCACCCCTCCCGCCCATACACACATACTCACACCCCCATCGAAACCTTACCAGTTTTCGAATGTTTTATACGAAACAGGTAAACAGGCCACTTAGCATGAAGAAAGAAGGTATACAAACGAGGAAGAGGAAACCGAAGAGTCACTCTGGAATCAGCGGAAATCTGGCTGGGCCCAGCGGCATGCACAAGACCGAGATTAAGTCTAGCTTGCTCGGTGAGTCTTCGGTGAGCAAGTTTCTCAATCAGCTCTTTCTTTTCCCTTGTATCTATATTTTTTTATTCTCTGCGCCACGCTGAGTTCTTCGATCGACAGATAACTTAAGCTGCGTCTACACTGTATACCATAACACGTTATATAGCGAAGTTATATAACACTATTTTGCTACATAGTGTAGACGGAGCTTTAGTGTACCTACAGGCTACAGAATGAATTTAATGTCTATCGTTTCGCAATTTTTTCGCGTTTCTTAAAAAACGCACGCATTCCAATTTCTCTTGTGTACCTCCCGATCGTCCTTTTCCGTTCTCCCTGGACTAGTGATAGACGATACATTTCAATTGTATCGATACATATCCGATAGATATTTTGATACATCGATACTGTATCGCCCATCACTACCCTGGACATAATGCAGGACGGCATCGTTCGTCGCGTTTTTCGGGTAACGTAAAACGCAACCGTGAACGCGATCGCGCAAATCGTATCGGCGTCTCGAATCTCGTAGAACGTCGTCCTTGGCCAACGCGAAATTAAACTCGCGAATCGAGAACAAAGTCCAAAGCGAAGAGCAGCGAAAGTAAATAAAAGTTGATGATTCGTGTGCGCGCATTAGATGCCGGATATAGATAAGAGTTCGAGACGAGCATCGGAATCGTTGAATCGACGCTGAAAGACGAACGGGAAAATTACCAGAGGGGAGGTGTAAACGGAGAATGAGAGAAAACGGGTGAAAAAGGTCGCAATTATGGACATGGAAATGTAGACTGCGCGTCAGGCTGGAACGGCGTCCCAACTTTGGAAAGAGACAGATTACTTTCGGAGGATTTACTATCTCTTTCTAATATAGCTCAGTGAACCACTTAAAATCCAGACTCCCAGAACCTGACCCTCCCCCTCACTACTTAGATTTAAAAAGTGATGCCAAATCCTCCGAAAGCTATCTACCTCTTTCTAAACTTGGGACGCTCGTTTCAGGGAGATGCGCAGTCTATGTTCCCGTGTCTATGATCCGCAATTAACCGATCGTGTTTTTCTTTAACGTTTCAGTGGACTCGCTGCAGTTGAACGTGTACGGGAGCGGTAGCAGCGGTAACGGGGGCGGGGGCGTGGCCGTGGGCAGAATCGTTGACGGGACAGCGACAGGAATAGGGACTGGGAGAGAAAACGGAAACGGAAGCGGGAGCGAAAGAGGGAACGAAGAAACCGAGGAGAGACGTCCACCTGTAGGTACACCGACGACGGTGCAATTAGGACACGCGCACTCGCCCCTCGCATTACCCACTGCCGCCGTATTGAATCGTCAGACCACCCTCACGTAAGTGCCCTCGCGTTCTCTCGAGAAACAGCCTATATAGTCGCGTCACGAATTCGTTTCCGATGAATTCTTATAATTATTCCATACCAATGAAAAATTTGTATACGGTAGCACTTCGAGATTATTTAAAGAAAGCATACACATCGGTATCGAAAAAGAAATATAAAATTTATTTAAAAAAAAAAAAAATGCCATTCCCACGTGCGGAGCACTGGTTACGTAAATAATTGCTCGACGCGAATTAGTTAACGATCAATTGTTTTTCAGCGTGCCACCGTTAGAGCCAATCGTTAGTCAATCCAGCGGCGACCTGATCTCTGTCATAACTTCCACGACGGCTGTCCACGTCGAAAGAACTTAAGAAGGAGAAGGAGGGGATTTCGATGCCGAGAATCAAGAACAGGAAACGACGGAAGGATCGTGCTTCCGACGAGACTATTGGATGAGGAATTTTACCGACCAAGGCGACGCGAGTGCCACGAGCCGCCGCGTCGGCTCTGTTTTACCGACCGTCGGGATATCCTGCTCGGTTTTCCTATCAATCGAGGAAAACCATCAACGTGTCTGTCCTCTCGTTCGTATGTGATTCCGTTGCTTCTATTTATTCATAGATGCGAACAATCGTAATTTCGAGCTGTTCGAGATTATCCGCATTACATTTCGATCGCTTTCGCGCGATCGATTTCGAAGGGAAACGCCACGGCTGTGTCGCGCTATGAACTCATCTGGTACATACGCGCAAGTCTTTTCACCGGCCGCACTCTTCTTTACCGACTGACCTTTTACAGTGTCACCGGAGCTGTTCGCCCTCTGAGGAAGGAGGCGGGAATTGCGTATTTCGAAAGTTACTTCGCCACGTTCTGCCTCTTTCTTCTTCTTCTTCTTCTCTTTCTCCTTCTCCATCACCATCTCAATCTCCTTTTCCTTTTCCTCTCTCTTGCACCATATTGTCGTCGTTCGTCGTTGCTTTCACCACTGATTTCAACGCGAAACACACACTTTCGTCGTTGTTCGGCGCTTTGTTTCGCGCACACTTTGTAAATACACGGAACAACTTTTCAAACCTATCCTTGTCCTATCTACGTACAGCCGCACTCGCATAATACACGCGCGAGTGCATGTTATATACATGTACGCGCAACAGGTGCAAATATGTGTGTACATAAGTGTAGCTGCGAATCAAGGACCCCAAAGAATAGTATAATATATAAATATATATACATACATACATAATACGTACGCGTGTCGGAACGTTGTTTTCGGAAAAGACACAGAAACTCGAGAACACAACCGTGCAACTATTTATTTCCATCTTTCGCAAATACGCGTACGCGTTCAATCATCCAAATGGTGTAAATTGATTGTCGTTTGTGTTCTCCTACGCGACAATCACCGGAATTCCGTATTCCTTTTATCGAAGCGTGCGCGCTTTACGGATCGAACATATTTTGTATGCGTCTCTTTAAAATCCAATAAAACGATCAAGTCGACTGGCTGGTCGAGAAGATCGTAGTTTTCCAAATGGTTTTCAGTAGCCCGAAAATATATCCGAAATCGAAGTCCCCTTGTTTCTGTGCCTACGCCTGCAGTGGCATTTTCTTCGACGTGAGAATATTCCACCGTCGCGGCGGACAAGAGCCGAAAAACCTTGAAAAGGCGGATTCGCAACGAAACAGGGAAAAAGGATACGAGAAGAAGACGAGAACGATCTCGGCGAAACGCGGATCGGCGAAAGGAGCAAAAGGAGCAAAAGGAACGGATTCGAAGCGACTGGACGTCAGAAGAGGAACACGAGGAGAGAAGGAAAGGGAGAAAGAGAAAGAGACTACGCGTTTGAGCGCGTGATATGCGGACGGGCGCGTGTATGTATGTGTGTGGGTGCGCGAGAGAGCGAACGAGTCGGCAAGAAGAAGGCGGGAGGGAAAGGGAGAGAGAAATCGAGAGGGTCGTGAGTCCATCAGCCTAAAGAGTGGCTATCGTACCGGCTAAGGGCTATTCCATGTTAGCCGCTCTCAGCGAGCTCCTTTTTTTTCCTTCTCTTTATTCCCCTCCAGGACTTTTTGTAAGGCGCAAACGTGGCGCCGCCCTCGAGATCCCTTCTAGCGCGCAGAGGTTCTGAAAGATTCGTCGTCATCATCGTCGTGGTCATCATCGCCGTCGTCGTCATCGACGTCGTTGACGACGTTGTTTCTTCCTTTTTCCAATAAATTAGAAAGGATTTCATATGTGGGGTTCATACGCGCCTGTATGTACACCTACGAGCAATTCGGCTTCCACAAGGGGAAAAAGTGTCGTAGGGAAATTAACATTTATTTCGGGACTTGACATAAATTTACCAAGTGCTAGGAAGCGACTTTTCTGACGTCACTTTTTCTCCTAGCGGAAGCCGAGTTTGTTCGCGAGGGTACATAGGGAGGAACGTACGAAACGCATAATTTGTCGATCTAGTCGTGTTTTTTCAAAATCCACAACGTTGACCACATTTCCCTGGAAATCGTGTAGACAGGGGTAAGTTTTACGCTGAAAAGAGGCTTAAGGTCACGTCGATTTATCCCCGTAAAGCACGCGACGCGGCGGCGCTCGAAAACGATCGGGTGTCCGTGACACGGAATCTTTTGATTTCAGAGACACGGATCTCGGAAATGTGAACGTATCGCAGCCGTCTCTCTCGCAGTCTGTTCTCGTAAATGGTCATGATTAGACTGCGGATGTTTATGCAAATATCGATTTTGATGGACCGGTTCACGGACATTCCAGGAAGAATTTCTTCTCAATATTTAATGTTTCGTACAGTTCTAACTGAAGTAAGAACCTCATTAATTTATTTATATTCGTGCACATGTTAGATACGGTGTGTAAGTACCTAGTGAGTTTCACGTAATCGTGCACGCCACGAGTGTATGAAATTCGCAGTCTAGTTACGATCGACGAAAAGAGATTCACCGATTAACGGAAGATGGTGATCATAAAAGCTTTAGAATCTGTAGAGTCCAAGCTGATTCGGAAAATATCTTGCAAGTTGGACCGCGAGCATCAGACAGCGAGAGAAGGTGACCGGTGTTCGGATCGTTTGGAATTTAGGGGATGTCCGACGACGTTCCCTCTATCGTGGTGGCGCCAACCGGTGAACCTTATCGCGAACGAAGCACCGTTACCTCGGGCTCTTTAAAGAATTCTTTTCGATTCACTCGATTCTCGAATGCCTCAGCGATCCCAACTTTCCACCGATAACTCTCTCCGTCGCTTCGTCTCCATCCCCCCTTTTTCTCTATTTTTGTGTAAGGGAGACCGGGGTTGAAAGGAACAGTTTTTAGTTTTCATGAAATAAAGAAGTTTATGTTTTAGCTAGGGAGATTTAGTGTTAATTTAAACGGATAGGTTAGAGATTCGAGATTATTATCCATTTTATTATCATATCGCTGTCTCTCTTATTTATGAAATTATAAGCCTAGTTACAACTTACCCCTGATACTTCCAACCTCGGTCTCATTCATCTCTTACTAACAATTTGTTTGCTTCATAAACAGGCAGGCACACAAGCACGTCTCCTACACATCGAAGATGAACGATGATCATTCCTACAATCTCCGAAAAGATAAACTCGAACGAAAGCAAGCATTCCCGGTATTTCGGTCGGTTGGCGCAGATCACCCGTCGGAACTGGAAAAAAAGTATCTAGACGCGTGCTCGCGCATTCGACGTATCGGACCAATCAAACGAATCAGAAATTAACCATCGAGAAACAAACTCACGGTTCGCGTGCTATTTCGTCGTCGAACGGGCCGCCCCCTTCAGTTCCGTATCCGTATTCGTGTGGAAGGTGCAGGCAGGAAGCCCGCGAGGAGGCACGAGCGTCCGCGCCGCCATAAATAAGCTCGAAGCGCAACAAATTAGATCGCGCGATCCCGCGCAGAACATCGCTTAGCCTCGTCGCAGAGCTCGCGATATTTCACGGTCGAACCACGAACGTAAGTTAAGCCGTCCACCACGAGCCGCGCCTCACCTCGCCTTGTTTAGCCTTCCTCTCCTCTCCTCCCCATCGTCTGCGTCTCGCCTCGCCTCTTTCATGCCTCTTTCATGCCTCTTTCATGCCGTATTTTCTTGTTCCGCTCGACAATTCTACCCGGCCATTCTTTTCTTCCTCGGCCCGTTTCTTATTCTTGCTCCTTCTCGTTCTTTTTCCCGTCCGCCGAGTTACCGTTCGTCTCGGGGCGGCGGTAACAACGAGACAAACCACTCTACGTATTGTCGCAATTTTTTCTTGCCCTGCGAGATGACGATCGCGATCTGAATTTGCCTGTGCAGAGAGGAGAAACGCGTAATCGTCGTTCCGAGACGTATTCTTTTATTGAACGACGTTAAAAGACGCTGAACAACGTTGACCTGTCGCGCAAGGATTAAGCCAGATTCACAAATCAGACAGTAGTTTTTATCACTACACGCACGGTGGTGTATACAGACCGGAAACTCCTGTAGAGAGGGTGATGCTTTACAAGTGAAGCAAAAAGTTTCGTGGATCTTCCACTCGGCGCTGTTATCATGATGTACATAGAGGTGCACTCGGTTTCCACAGGGAAGAAACTATCAATGAGTCTGTGAAATCCAATGAATTTTTATTCTTTCATTTAATTTCTGAGTACTAGAAACTGTAAGAATTATAAAGTTTCGCTTTTTCCTGTAGCGGAAGTCGACTTTGCTCGCGAGTGTCATGTATACATATACACCTATAGTCATGACGATAAAAGTTAAAAACATCTTAAAACTTTGTGCTCCCTGGCGGAAGGACATAGAGATAGTTCGCGCCACTTTCGCGTTAAATTAAACAAAAATAAATACTGATTAAATAATGACTATTAATTATCAATTAATTAATATAATAATAATTCATTAATTATTAGTTAATTAGTTTAATGCACAGTCGTATGCACTCAGAGAAAATGCAGAGAGAGGCTAAGATGTTATAAAAGTAAGAAAGGGCGCATGCGCCACATGGATATATAGGTTATATATGACGTGCGAATGTGTTGTTATTCCGAACTGCGTACATTACCACCGTAGTGTCCTTCCTGCGTGGAATATTTTGAAAGTAGACCGGCTATTTTAAGGGATCACCCCTTCCACGGGAGTTTTCATACCTGTATATATGACCGTAATCCAATCAGAATAATGTAGTCTAAATTCATAGTGATCGTGGTCCGACCGTGCTTTTGACCGCCAGTGTGAATCCTGGCGTTACTCGAAGTCTACATCCCCGTACGGAGACCGGGGGACGAGCCGTTCGCGTCGTCGCGATCGCCTCGAATCTTTCTTCTTTTTCGATGACGCGCGACTCGTTCGCCCACAGGGCTATTACAGAGAGCT